CAGTGTGACGATGCAAAATTGTGTTCAGCATAACTAAACTGAACTTCTGAATTAGCAGATCTGTATAGCAGTTTCAACGACAATATTTTATGATATTAGTGACGTATTTAACAACCAAGAGAATCAACTTGTCTTCTATTACATTGTAACTATTGTAGGATTGTTTTCTTTGTCGATTTCAATACGAAAGCAGCGTGATATATTTTATGGTTTAAAATATATTTGAGAGCTGGCAACGCTAACATCAGAAAGTATTCGAAAACAAATATATCAGACATAAAATACCTAAAACAAAATAAAGATATTGTGGTTATATTCATATACATGTTTTATATAAACATTAGCAGGCTGGCTTTGTTTTCCGTATCTTAAAGATTCAATTACCCGGTGAGAAGTCGAAGCTGTCTCTGACATATCAATTCTCTCGAAATATGATAACATCTCATACATAAACATAAATACAACTAACGCCATCTGTTATAATAGCTTTAGAATAAATACTAATTTAAATATGTTTATATCTATTGTATAATAAAATCAATAGTCTATTTTAAAAATATCTCTCCTATTAAGAAGTTTTTGATCACATATAACAAAAATGCGCAAGTTTTTTAGTAGCCTCTACTACTTAAGATTTACATGATTGATGAGAACTTGTCTATAGTAAAAAGAAAATAACTTAATAGTAACTTCAATCATAATAAAATCGCTATAAACTAATTAAATCTCCGAATATAGAGACAAACGTAATGTCTCTTGATTACAAATTCCTTAATTATAATACATACATAAAACGCCATTTCTGTGTTCTGTAGCTTCATTGAATCATTGTTGTTATTGTAAATTATATGAGGATTTTAGAATACTTAAACATTCCTTTGATAAACTGAATGTTAAAATCTCGTTGCAGCCACTGAAATAGGTACGTGGTATTTCAGATTAATACATTTTATTATGATTTGGAATTCGATAAACATACAAGATGAATACGTTTGTTCATACGCTGCAATTATTCCCAAGCATTCAGAATCCTTTATTAGTTAGGGTGAAAGATTTTGAGAATGAAATATACGACTTAAAAATATTGCAGTTTTCATGCAACTCGATAAATTTCAATAAGTACTCATTGTGGTTAACATCTTTAAAAATTAAAAGATAGAGTTCTATGTTACTTTCAATGTTACTGTAAATACATAAAACACTACTGAATAACAAAAATATAGTTACATTTAACTTGCACATCGAAATAGTAAACCATGGATCCCGCTCCTATTAAGTGAGGCAAGAGAATCAAAGATAAAATCTGATTTATAGCTACGAAACCACTGGGCCAAACTAAAAATCCTGAATGGAGCTGACTGCCATATACATATAGTATCCCTGCAACTGCTCGGAATTTTATTCAAGTTAACTTAAGCTTATGCCGTAATAGTCAATATTACAAATATTCCTTTTTCAAACTAATAATTTTATGACAGTTAATACATTATAATCTTTACATAAGTATAGTCCGTTAGACTTGAGCTGAGCTTTGCATTTGTGTTAGTAAAGTAAGTAGGTAGACTAAAAACTTTTATAATTCAATTTTATTATATTTTAAATAGATACAAAATATAAGTGTAGATCATTTCTAGATAAAAAATTGAAAAAGCAAAACCTGTAAAATGCCAAATGGAAATATTATGGTAAAAAAAATATGAAAAAACAATACAAATTTTCCTTCACTTGACACTTAAAAGAGTGAAGTGTGAAGGTGGGGTTCGGAGTAAAAGCAGAATAAACCGGTTAAAACCCAGAAAAGAACGTACATCACACCTACACTATCTGTGTGAACTCACACAAATGCAATGGTCAGCTTAAATCAAACGCACTACATCATAAAATTATTATTTTGCATACTACAGTAGTTCATAATAATGATAATAATAATTTTGTCCATCACAGGCAAACACATATTTTTCCAAATGTATGTCAAAAATCTATTTTGAGAATATCTACAAAGAAGATTTGCATATTAAGTTAATGAAACTTTTCCACTAACTTGATGAAATGAACTGAACTTATTGTAAGTTATCTTATCGTAAATTAATAAAAATGTAATATTACCTCCCATCAATAAATATGATATTGTGCATTGTTTTCTTTGAATTCACTTAATTGAAAGAAACCGATGAGTTAAGAGTTATAAAATTTTTAGGATTTCACTCTTCAGTACGAAAAAATTTTACCCTTATAAGATCATTCTTGACATACATAAGCAGTGAAATACTAAAAATAAAATAAAGCCGTCCAGGATAAGCTTAGAATCGAAATTTTCTGAAAGCGGAAATCTCCGAAACAAAGATTAATGGAGTTTTCATTTTCCTGTTTCATAAAAGATTTTTAATGATTTTGTTTTTTATTTTGTTTTACTGAATTGTACCATTTTTAAAATCCCTAAGAACAAATTTACTTGAATCTTACGAAAAACCATAAACTTTTTCAAAACGTCTTTTACATACCATGAAATTTTTCACTTCAACGAAAACTTTACTTTTCCTAAATAGACTAGGATGCCTTAATGTTTAAATTTTTCAGAGATAATCGTGGTTATAAAGACAGACAGAAGAACAAACTTTAATTTTACTTTCCATTATAGCAACTCCCTATATATAATTTAAAATTTACATTTTTTTTTTCTTGTAGGTAAGGTAAGGATTTTTTTTTTAAATTTATCCATTTTCTGAATTACGCATTACTACAGCAACTCCCTATAATTAAATATACCTACAAATAGTTCGCCTTTGTTTCTTGTATGTAACGACAGTGTCAGTAAAACGTTTTTTTTTCAAATTCATTCCAATATATATTTTTTTGTATTACATACGTGTTATATAGATTACGCAATTTTTCTTGATAGCCATACTAACTTAATTTATTATAATGCATGAGTAACTTCCTAGTTATTATCTATACATTGTCCCAAGATTAGATGGTGACCTTTGACACCTTTGTATGATTGATTTCCTGATAATATGGATCCGCTGGTCCGATATAAAAAACTTAGAAATAAATAATGAAAATAAGAGAAAGATTCACCTTTCCTTCATTTATTCGCCCTAAATATTTTTTTCTGTACACGAATTAAAAAAGAGAACCAAAAATAACTCCAAGAATTCTTTTAATACTGAACGCATGCATAATATGTAATGTTATAATATCATTCTACTATTTAAATGCTTTTTAATATAAATGAAAATTGATAGCGCTCCCTAATGTCTGTTTAATGCTTTGTAAACTTAGGCGTGCGTCACGATTGAAGTGGAAAGAGCAAAAGTCATCTGTCTTCACTGAAGAGAAAACAAGAGGCTATTTTAATTAACATTGAAATAGGGAGCGTTCAAGTATTACGTAACGCAATTTTGGGGGAGGGGGGGTCTCGTAAAACGTTACGATGCGTTACAGGGGCGGGAGGGGGTGTCTCTTACAAAACGTTACGTAGCATTGTTTATAAAAGAAATATTAATAAAAACCCCCAAACCGGCAACTCTTTTCATATACGTTACATTATGTTGACCAGATTGTATTAGTCTGGTCGATATTTTTATTTGTTATTCCAAGTTTGCAAACCTCTTAATTGATATTTTACTGGGAATACCTAAATAGCATTGTAAGTTTTTAATGTTACTTCCGTGGTCAGTATTCGTTAGTGTTTATCCATGAGTTCATAGTGTTTATACTGTAATTTCTTCAGAAGAGGGAGATTCGTGACAATGATCTTTTTTCATTTAATAGATTAAAACTGTACCAAACTATTACATATTGTTTTACGACTTTGGATGAAATTGATCACTTGAGTGTTACGTAACGTTTTGATAAGGGGGGGGGGCTACAGAAAAACGTTACGGAGCGTTACGAGTTATTTTTTTCGTAAACATGATGTATGAACTAAAAAACTGAAAGCTATGTACATAGTCAGATGACGGACGCGTGATAAGCTTAAGTTACTAAAACTTATTAGTACTTACCAATTCTTAGGATTTTGGAATATACATCGTGACCAAAAACAAACATGATTTTTTTTTAATTAATTATGTAATTCAAATTGAATCATACGAAAGCAGAAGCAAAATAACCATTACTTTTAAACTTTGTAATGAAACTTTTTCAGTACTACGCAATTTTATTTAATTATTTTCCGACATTTCGATTACTTTCATCTGGTCTAACAATCACGGTTGCTGTCATTGAAATGTCAGAAAATGAAAAGTGAAGGAATAACCGAGTATCCGAAAAACATAGTCTCATTAGGAATGTATTCTCATGAAAACTTTAGATACCATTAGGTGAAAGTTTGTAACGAAGATCCCAAGTTCGTTATCGAAAACATGTGTTGTTTCTTAATGAATGTCCTTATAAACTTTCGTTGCACTTCTCTGATATAGTTAATGCTTTGAATTCTTATTAGAACTCTTGATTAGTTTAATTATAGTTTTAATAGGAGAAAAAGAAATTAGATAGTTGTCTTTAACTTATTGAACTTCGTTTGCGAAACCGCTACACTATATGTATGTAATATTTAACTTTTTCTTGATAAAAAAACAATTATTAACGTCTAATTACTAGTTGAAACATATATTTTATATTGATCACATGACAATTGTCTGCAAAAGATTTCCTCTGATAACTGAATCGCCTTCAGGGGTATTGCCTTTATTTAAAAGCGTACGATACGACGTTTTAGATTCACATAAAACCTTGGATAGTTATAAAAAGCATCTAAATATTCTTTGCAGTTAATCATATAATTTCTGAAAACTATACTTGTTTTATTCTTTACATACCAAAATGTCCAGCCCTTTCTGGTCCAAACTTTAATCCTCCAAAGAAAACACACGACATTTTTTATTTAATTCTCTGGTAAAATAACACAATTGAGTTCATTACACAAACACATTCAATTATTTATTTTTTAACAATCTATTTTACATAACAATCACATTCATTCAGCCGACATGTTGCTACCCTAATAAATCTTTCTTATGTCTCATGTTGTATGCCATCTTGGGCATGCCACGTGGTAGGTTTTTGTTTTTTTTCTTCAGCGTGATTTCAGATGTTATCAACTGATCAATTGTCTGAAAAAAAAAATATTATAAAGTCAATAGTAAAAGCAAACTATATGGCTACTGTTACCCATGTTTTAAATAAGCATGCTAAAAAGTGAGCTATTAAGTATTCTCAATACAAGCATGCATGAGTCGTTTACATTAAAAGGCATGTTAGTTTTAAGTAAGTACTCCGGAGAGTAGGCATGGTCAAAGCAAACGTTTCAAATACACATGCTATTTTATATCGTGTTTTTCAGGGTTTCTGTCAGTTCAATAGTCATGAATAAATGGAGATGAATAAGATCATTTTTTCTGGCTATACAATGCTTCTAGAAGCTTATGTCAGGTGGCCAAAATACGAATAGAAGGAGAATGATTCGGGCTCGTAATTGGGTTTTTGAATTATTATTTTTTTTTTGTGATAAATCTTTCCAGATCATATATAAGTTTCATAACAAAACTATTTTTTTTGCAATAATTAAAAAGTTATTTCAAAATAAAAATTAAATTTTAAATTCAGTACCGAAGATCCGCCGACAGCTCCCGAATAAACCCGAGAGCGTGTGACGTCACAATGTTAGTTTTTGCTCATTGTAGCATACAGAGATATAATAATTAGTACAGTGTTTTGAGTTTTTATCTAGTAAATTCTATTGGCATTGTTAAATAATCAAAAATGTCAAAACTCAAAAGTTATCGCTCTTGTTTTGTACCATTATGTACAAATACTACAAAAACAACTCCTGAAAAAATGTTTTTAAATGTTCCACAAGACGAAAAATGTCGAAAGAAATGGTTTCAAGCAGTGCACCGAGATTATTCAAAAACAAAATCAATTTTTTTTTTTGTTTGAAGATCATTTCGATGTAAGTATTCATAATAATATTGTTATTAATTATTATTTATCTAAGTGTATAAATCGAATAAGTATAGTTCAGTAATATTTTTTTTTACCTGGGCTCCAAATCATTACCTTTAGAATCGTAGCATTAAAAAATTTTTCATTGATAGTTAGAGTAACTGAGTAAGCTTTACTCCGAACTCGGTGTTCTGGACACACACGTCCTTTTAAAACACAAATACCATTCTTACGATTAAGTTGAACATAACCTATAGCTTTATCACCGTAACTCTCACGTGATGCTCTACAATTAATGAAATAATTATTAATTATATTTAATAGAGAATAAATACTTATTTTCATTTAGAATAGTATTTTTTAACAGACTTACCTTGATGCCTTAGCACCTCGAACTTCAGCAGAATTAAAACGAACGTCTTTTTTTTTAAAATGTGTATCATAAATATATCAACATCAGGAATATTATCCGATTTTGTTTTTATAAATCCTTTATCACACAGTTAGTCGAAATAAACTTTTCAAATCGTTTTTCACTAATAAATTTGAGATATTTTTATCAAGTCAAAGATAATAGCCATAAACACTGTACTATTATGAAATATGTAGCTTTAACATTATGACGTCACAAGTATGGCGACCAATCATGGCGCGTTTACAGTCCCGTGATTTTTTTTGAATTTTATCATTTTTTAATTGTTTATAATTAATTAAAAAATATTTTTTTCAACTTATTTGCATTAAAAGTCAATATAATTAATACTAAAGGTTTAAAATACATAAAAAAAATCAATACTTTTTTTTTCAAAATCCCAATTGGATGTTTAGAAGACGGAACTTGGGATCAAGTGCTTAATTGCAAACAGAAACGGGAGGAAAAGTTGTTTTGGAGTCATAAAAACCATAATATAGAAATGCTACCGCATCAATTGGACGGTTTACTCTCTTACTTTAAAGCCTCAATACAGAAACAAGATATCTAGCATGCTCATTAAGCAAACATGTTTATACGTGCTTAAATCACGCCCCCTTGCATCCTCACCGCTTGTAGCAGACATACTTAAAAATCGCATGCCTGTCCATTTTCATGCATGCTCCAAATGTTTATTTTAAGCAACATTTGGACATATGCTACTAAGTAGCGAGTGCTGAATTCAAGCATGCTTTCGTGCTTGAAGTAAGTACGTGTAATAGTAGCCTATAATAATTTTTCCTGTATTACCTGGTCATCTATAAGATTACGATCCTTCAAAGCCGTTTCAATATCTTCAAATCTTTTCAAGGAGTCTTTGTTGTTTGAATCCTCTATGGCCGTACGAACTTTAGTAATCTAGAAAATATTTATATTAGAAAAAAAAAAGTATTGGAGCATTGAAAAATATATTATACATTTACAATACATACAGTTTCTTTGAAGAATGTGTGTTTATCCTTTTGTTCTGGTTGATCTACATCTAAAACACTTCTTAATACTGTCATAGCTTCATCAAATCTTTGTAACTCTGATAATGAAACGGCCTGAAAATATATATAAATTTAATAAGTTAGCTTAAAATATGCTTATTTAATGCATAGTCATAAGAAAAAAAAATTCTAATGTTGGTTCTTAAAATACACTAAGAAAAAAACTGAAACATCTCTGTACTATTTCAACTTTTGCCCATAACCACTTAATTCAGAAATATTCTTAAACATTGAATAGTATTTTAATTCAAATAATAAATGACTTAATTTTAATTATATAACATTTTTTATTATAATTTCTAAGCAAAAATATAATTAATTTCCAAGTGAAAAACATTTATTTTATTTATATTACAAAATATAAAAAAACACTCCATTTATGTTAGATGTAAGTAATTATTTAAGATTAATTTAATTGTTGAACATGTTTAAAAATATTATTAGTTAACCTGCTATAAATTATCACCCAGATATATTATATATGATCTAAAATCTCTAATGATTTGGTCACAAATAAATGGGTTCAGACTTCATACAATCAAGAGGTTAATCTAGTTAATGGCAGTAATTCAAAAATATGCTTCATAATTATCTGTTTGCAAAACACATCTACAATTTAATAATAATAATAATCTATAACAAATTACCTTTATATTTCTAATAGTGATGTAATGTGGTTTCTGTTGTGACATTGACTCCAAAGCTATATGTGGAGCACCTTGCCTTAACGCCAGAGCTGAAAAAATAAAAAAGATTAACTCCCAAAGCATAAACTAACTTGGTGAAGTGTAAATAAGTATTGACAGCTTTAAAGAAAAATTAATATAATAAAAATGTATTCTTGTTGATAAAATTACAAAAAATTCTTATGATTTTAGCATTGTTTTGCAATTTTTTAGCCAATTAGATGATAATAAATCATATAAAGCTATTTTTGGACAAATTGCAAGATAATTTCGATGAAACAGTTTTAAAAAGGGATTTAATTATTATACATGCTGGATGAATGAATGATAGATTTTTGGCCACTAGGACTGGTCTGTCAACTTATAAAATACATATAAACAGCTGGCTAGATATTAAATTTGAAAAATGATCACACTGTTAGTAATATTGTGTTTTTTGCTGTTAATATTTAAAGTGTGTATCATGTAAAAATATCTGCCAACAACAGGTACTCTCAGTATAGATGACAATATTACATTACGTAAATTTCAATAATTGGTACATACCACCGAAAAAAGTTGATGCCCTCCTCAATGGAACAATACCAACATTTATCATGTCTGACCATAGCTTTGTTGCATATTCAAAACTCTTTGGTGTATTCTAAAATAACATTAATACTATTTAAATATGCATGTCAAAATATTTTTATATGAGTAAAAAATATACTATTTTATATTAAAATAGTTAACAAGTATAATTATAACAAAAGAAGCCATTTGAAAACTACTAAAAAAAATTTGCTAGAAATTATTGGCAGTGTAACAAATATATTTGTATTGAAATATCCTTTTTACCTGTTTATAACATGCTGCCAATATTAATACTACCGGATATTTAGGAAACTTTGTCATATTCAATTGTTTCTCTTGAACCTTTTCAAACACCCTGTACATTTCATCAAACATTTCATTATTATAGAGCAGGTCGAGTAATATCTGATAGGACACCAGTTGATCAAAGAAACCATTATTGTCAGGGTCCTCGAAGCACTTGAAACAATAAAAAACAATTTAGTTACATAATTAAGTAGCATATATTATTTTATTATATAATTAAGTTATATATTGATGAAGAAATATATGGCATACTATTAGATTTAATATTTTTTTAAATATAATTATCATATCACCTTCAATGCTTCATTGGGTGCATCTAAAAAGTGAAACATTCTCATAATGACTGGACCAAATATGAAAGAACCAAATCTGAATTCTGTTTTCTGTGTGTTAAACCTGTAAAATTTATAAAATTAGACTACAATAACTTTCACTTAAATTTATCCATCTCACATATATTATTGCAAAGATATGGCTTTGTTCATACAAAATTTCAGTCAAACACAGAGTTGTTTCATAATCACATAAAAACATAACTGAAACACTGAAGGTATTTTGTTCCTTACTTTTTAATCATATTAGTAACTAGTTCCAAATCTGTTGGCTCTGCTAAATGCACCATGTTCTTTAAATCTTCAGTAAAAATCATGTTTTTCGAATCACTTACAAAATCTAACATTTTGGTTCTAAATTTATCAGAAAAGTTGGCAAATTGTTCTCTTATTCTTTTCCTAGTTTGTAAGTAACCATCGATTCCTAGCGCAGATGGAGCGTACAGTTGTTGCACTAAAATAAAGATATTAGTATCAAAACACTGATATTATAAATTAAATCCTTTCCACTCTATCATACCGTGTGTTGTATGAAAACTCCTAATTCCAAAAGTATATCGTGAGCTGTTGCTTAAAAATATTTTTGATAAGTAGTTATATAAGGACATCTTTATGTCGTAATATAATTTAAAATTTAGGATTATTTAATTTCAAAAAATGTAAGGTTAGAATCAAAGACTGAGAAATGTCATTAGTGGTTTTGACAGATTTTTTTTTTAGTTTTTCATGTGTTTGGTTCATCTTGTCAGCCTATCAAATTGTATTGGACATATACATTCAACATACATTATATGTATATATACATTCAACAATAAAAATGGATAGCTAGAATTCAAGCCATGCAATTCAAAATGAGTCAAAGTGACGGAGTTTTAATTAAATTATCTGGAAACTTTTTATTTTAAAATATATATTTATATAAGGCCTATAATAAACATCTCTTATGCTCTCACATGCATTCCCAACTCGAGTGTACTAATAATAATTATATTTAAAAGACAAACTTTTTAACATCACTCAGGTGGAAAAATGACAGCAATTATATTCAGGCTACTTTTCCACTTTTTAATTAATGTAGGACCACTACAATTATATTTTAAAATATTTTTATTGGTAAAGTAAAAATTATTCACTTAGGTTATTTGTCTTCATGATTTTTTTTCATTGGATAAAAAACTAATAAATTTCAAAAACTGCTATATTTTTAAAGTTATTAAAATCAGTTAAATAAAACCAGCACCAAAAAATTAATAAATCTATATAAGTTTACTTTTCTTTAATAAGTTTACTTTTCTTTAATATGTATATTGTTGCTATAATATCAAGTTATTCTAAACAAATGATTAACTGTGGTACGACAAGTGACGTTGTATATTAAAATCAAAAATGTCAGTAACCACTAATCATTATTGGTATTAAAATATAGAAAATTTATATTTTTATTTACAATTTGTGTTTCACAGAGGTATAATGAACATGTTTATATCAATAAAAATGTTTTCTTGTCATTTACAAACGTTAAATATCATAATACAAAATTGAGCTTACCACTTATTTATTTGATATATGGTAATTTCAATATCGCTTTTCGCTTGTGGTTTTTTCCATCGTCGACTATGTGACTATAACAGGATTATCTAGACTTTGGATTTTCTGTACTTATTCACAAAAAAATCTATTACATTTTTGTTTATATTTGGTGCTCATAACATGAAAGAACTAAGTGAACCAATTAGTCTTTCTGAATGTGCTAATACTATCGTGAAATTTTCATGTTATGTGTACTATTTTAATAATATGCTTTTAATATAAGGATGTTAATATAAGGAAAAAATCAGGATGAGTAAAGTTAAAATATTTCATTGAACACCAAAATTCTATGGACTACAGTAGAATAACTTAGACAAGCCTAATTAGTCGATTTCTTAGTCTTAGAAAATGTGGTAATTGTTTTGACAATTGAGAATTAGTATTATATCAATACCTTATGTTCACTTAAACTCTTTAATATTTTCATTAAAAAGTAATTAAATTCAACGCATAAGGAATTGAGATTGATGTAGTTATATTTCATTGTAAATGCAGTAGTGTAAATGTATTAATATCTTGTTGAATTTTGATATAGATAACCATGGATGGGAAAGTAAAGTGACAGGCTAGCAATGAGCGGAGCAGATATAAGAGTTCTGATTACGAACATGAAAAGTTGATACTGAGTAATGTTGGAACACTGCTGGTGACAAAACAGGGTGGAAATGTAATCAATGACACTACAGTACATAGTACCTCCCTTCCGCCAAAGCAGTCAAATCTATGATAGTTGCCAAAGTTTACTATCACGATTACCATATAAGGACTATCATAAATTTGACAAAGAAAGCTTTCATTTATTGACATATAATTTAGTTTGAATCATTCATTATCACACCAACCCTCGACTAAGCCCAGAAATATTTTCTCTTTCCAGGTTAAAGCTGCTAAATTCATTGACAAAATTATTGTAACATTGTACAGTGGAAATGGCTGAAAAATATTCAAAAATATATAGAAACTCATCGAAAAGTGATAAAAATTACAAACAAAGAAGATCTCATTATAGTGAAAGTACAACTCCACCATTACCAAAACAACATGGTAATAGTATAGAAGAATTGATGAAGCAAAGGCAATCTATCAGAGAAGAATTAAAAAATATTGCAAACTCGAAAACTAAAAGTGATATAAAAATTAGGGAAAGTAAGAAACGGAGGCATGAAACTATAGATAAAGTTGAAAATAAACTAAATGTTCCTACCAAAGTTTCAAAACACGAGTCCTATAAAAAAGACTCTTCACCAAAATATATTAAAGACTATTTTCAGTTAGATTCTGAAGATGAGGAAAATATAATTGAACAGAGGAGAAAAGAAAGAAAACAATTATTAGATAAATTAGGCAAAACTGAAGAAAAATTGGAATTGAATGGAACACAGTGTGAAAAAATTCAAGAGACACTAAATTCTCATCAAAATCAAAAGTATATTGAGCTGAAAAGCAAAACAACTTCTGAGAAATTAGTTACTGACATGTTTTCAGAAGAGGATTTCAAACTAGATAATACTTCTGATAAAATTACACAAGACAGCGAAGAAAATTCAGAATTAAAAGACAATTGGGATGATTCCGAAGGTTACTACAAAATTAATGTTGGTGATATGATAAACAACTCAAGATATACAATAAAAAATCTATTAGGACAAGGTGTTTTCTCAAATGTTGTAAAAGCACAAGATAACAACCAGGACAAACTTGAAGTCGCTATTAAAATATTAAGAAATAATGATTTGATGCACAAAACGGGATTGAAGGAGTTAAAAATGTTGAGAGAAATAAATGATGCTGATCCAAATGATAAGTTTCATTGTGTGAGGTATCAAACTCACTTTATACACAAGGGACATCTTTGTTTAGTGCTCGAATCCCTACATATGGATCTGAGGAGCGTCCTTAAAAAATATGGAAAGCACCATGGCATTAACATCAAAGCATTGACAAGTTACAGTAGACAACTGCTGCTGGCTCTTAGACTATTAAAAAAAATTGGTATAGTACATGCAGATATAAAGCCTGACAATATATTAGTCAATGAAAAGAAGAATGTCTTGAAATTATGTGATTTTGGCTCAGCTTCAAAAGTTAGAGAACATGAACCCACACCATACTTAGTTTCTAGATTTTATAGAGCACCTGAAATAATTCTAGGCATACCGTATCTACATAGTGTTGATGTGTGGTCAGCTGCTTGTACAATTTATGAAATGGCAACGGGAAAAATACTTTTCATGGGTGGATCTAATAATAAAATGCTCAAATGTTTTATGGACTTAAAAGGAAGATTTCCAAGTAGAATAATAAGAAGAGCGAAGTTTAAGGATCAACATTTCAATTACAATAACAATTTTCTTCTCCACAAAACCGATGAGTTCACAGGAAAGGATAAATTTGTTGAAATTAGCAATATTATTACTAATAGAGATTTGTATAAAGAATTAAAGAAAGGTTACAAAAATGCATCGAGCTATGAAGAAGAGAAGATAACACAATTAAAAGAAATGCTAGAGAAAATGCTTACATTAGATTCTAACTTTAGAGTGTCTGCCACCGATTGTTTGAAACATCCATTTATTCAGGATATACTAAAAAAATAAATCTCTGATAATAAATATAGTTTATAAAAGCAGTTCTTTTAATTAAACATACAGATTGAAATAAAATCATTACTTTATTAGAATTCCTAACATAGAAAATAACAAAAATATATGCCACCAACCAAAATATCACTTAAAATAATAAATTTTCACATGATTACATAACACATGTGGGTTTATCACAATTCATAAAGGAAAATTGACTGTCGCCATTAATTTTTAATTTATAAATCAATTGACAATCTCGATTATATTCAATGTTAATTTGAAGTCTGGGATAGTACAGCTAGATAGATCATTTGAAAAAAAAACATATTAAGACTAGCCTTTAAACCCAGCGGAGGTAATAAATTCTATAAAGGTATATTGAATTATACAATGTTAAGACACATTTATTGCAATCTTTGAAGCTAATAACTTATTGCTATACAAAGAAAGAAATGAAATAATTCACAAAACCAGCTTTGCTGTTCACAAGATCTGTTACTTATTCCCACTATCACTTTTAAACAATTAAAAATAACAACAAAAAATAAGTAGGTAAATGATCACAGAACGATAAATAAAAAAAAACAATAATAATAATAAAGTCATGTCAATATAAATATGTATAAAATAGTGCATTAAGTTATAAATTTTATACAGTATCTGGTGATTGTATGTTAAATTATATGCTTGTGTTATTAATACTAAAGAAATATACGAATACTGTTAACTTTATATGAATATTGGAGATATTTAAATGAAATCAATGTAATAACATAATTACAATCAGATAATAAGAAAATTATGTTATGCTTTAATATAATGAAACATTTGCTTTGTTGTTTCCTGTCTGTTGTTCGTTAAAGCTGGAAAGAAGTTTTTAAAGTATTTCCATTATACTTTTGAGGTTGGTGTTTTAAAATAATTCTTAAATACATCACAATAAAGACACTCTAGAAAACTATGAAATCGTTATCCAAATGAATCATCACTAATATGCAGTCGTCCTCTACTACACTAATTGAAAAAATCGTAATTATTTCACGCTAATCACTAAATTTATTATTGAAAACGGTTCATTGCTAAGTCGATTTTTATTATGAGTTCATTTCTAAGTACAAACTTTTACTTACTGCTCAAATGGACAGAAAATCATGGTGTGCTTTCATTTTTTATGTTATGTATGTCGAAGATTATCCAAGTAACTACTTTAACATAGTACTTGATAATATTTAAAACTATAAGGCGCTTCCAGAACTGTGCGAGGCAACGAACACTAGCGAAAACACAATCAATTGAAACACTTCATTTTAAAAACGTCAAATTAATCCATACTAGCAATGTATTATTTAAAAAATGAAGTTATTCCAATGACAGTTAAATCTTCGCTCGTCCTCGTCGAGCATATTTCAAATTCATTAGTATAGTATCAGCCTTAGCCTAGTATGAAAACGTGGATGGATCGATTACATACAACTATCTTTTAAAGCAGATCCTGATAGTCACTGACTAAAGGTAAAAAATAATGAGATTCTTGCAAAGAATTTACACGTTTTTTAAAATAAAAGCATTTTAAAAATATATGTTAAACACTATCTTATATGTATTTCTTTGGATGAGTGACGTTTTAACATATTTTTAATCTGTATTTGTTATGTTGAGAGCATGTTTTGGTTTTGGAAGGCGACACCAATGTCTATGGATTGCCCTGATGCTATGGAATCCGGGCTTTGTAGCGAGGCACTGTAGACGGGATTCATAGGAGTCGTCCCACCAGCTTCGAACAGTGTACTGTCGTATACGCTGTTACTCTGCTGAAACAATAAACATAGATTAATCTAGAATATTTTCAAGCTATTATACTAATGTCTTCAAAAAGTAGGATTTATTCAGCAAATTTAGTGACTTTGCGAGATGTCGTCATCGGCCTATCAGAGACCACTGCTGAGCAAAGACCTCTTTCTCACATGGAGAAGGTTTGAGCATTAATCACCACGCTTGCTCTTGACGGGTTGGTGATTTCAACCTTATACTCGTGAAATTATAAGTCCAGGTTTCCTCACGATTTTTTTCTTAACCATATGACAGTGGTGTCTAAATACTCTTTAAAAGTACATATGACTCGGACAAATCACATTGGTACTTTCGCCAAGTTTCGAACCCGTTTCGTACATGAGAAGCGACCACTGACTTAATCTAGAATATTTTCAGGCTATTATACTAATGTCTTGAAAAAGTAGTACTTCGTTAGAAAGTAAGTAATTTAGTGGCCTCGAGAGATATAAATAAGATTTTCTATATTCACAGTTGTCTCTACAAATTGACAAATATTTATCAAAATCACAGCAAAATGCATTCATTCATTAATTTTTTAAATGTGGAATGGAATCAATGTGGAATGTGGAAACTTTATGTAGGTTCCAAAACGTGTTTTGAATCTTTCAATATCATTTCAAAATCATAAATATACGGTCATAATTTCAGACTATGGAATTTTGTTTTTCAATATAAAATATCTACGTACTTGATATATATAATCTGAGTCTGTCTTGAGAGAACTGAAGCTCTGTTGGTGAGGCAACGACACTTGATCGTCGTCTAAAGGCTCGTCCATCTGCGCCTTGTACGAGAACATTATACTCGGCTGGGACACACTGCAATATACATACCAAAATTATTATATATGATAAATAATGTTTATACATGATACATATGTATCTATCCTATACATACATTTTATATTCGAATGTTTTGACTATATATAATATAAACTTATAACTTGTTATACCGGAATATCTTAGAAAAAGTTTAGTCGCGTTTTAAATTTCTAATAGAGAAACGATGACTCGTTTTCATACTTTTTACTCTTGCCATCTAATGCTTTTACGAAATAAATATTTGTTTTACTACTCTGTATTTCGAATAAAATAAATGCTTGATTTGACATCCTCTATGATACAGCATTTTTTTAAATTACCAAAACTGCTATATACTTAATGGTTGTTACTGAGATATGAGGAAAAAACAACCATAACAAATTATATGAATATTATATATCATTCGCAACTGGGTATTATTACCAGTCACGTTGTAGACCAGTCTACTTAAATATATATATAATAGTTGAGTAGATACAATTTACTAAAACTCAAGGCGAGTACGACAAAAAACGCGAAACAGAAGTCATTGTCCACCCGTTTCTTACTTTGTCACTCTAAAACTGCTATAGCTTTAGATAGATAGACTATTATAAAAAATCAACGAATGAACAAACTTAACATAAAATACGGCTCAAATAAGACTAAGTTCGAAATATTTCTTTCAATGTATAGTAAAATATATAAGTATAGGTTATGAAATCAAAAACAAAATAATGGCGCGAAAAATCGTACCTGAAAAATTCACTCAAAAAAGTGTGATACACTAGCGGCGTGTACAACGAGAAATAAAGCCAAGTTGTGACATCCACGACGCACAGAGCAGACGGTACATCACCCCACGTTAGAAGACCGGCTCCAATGGCTTGAGTTGTGTCCAGTAACGCGAGTAACAACACGTACAAATAGAATGATAATTTAGCTGTAAATATAAAACAAAACACAACGATAAAAAATATATATTTACGTACAAAAATCAAACAATATAAATTGACCTTAGAACATTTGAAAAGATTCAACTCTCTTCTATTTTTATCAAATCTTAACGAAACTATTGAATACCGAAATGTTTATCGTAAATGGCTTATAAACATAAAATAATTAGAATTTGGACAATTACAAAAAAAAATTAGTCGCATGCGTCTCTTTTTATAAAATAATTTAGTTGCTTAACAAAATAAGTCTAGTTTATAAAATGGTAATAAAAATTCTTAACTAAAAACTGTAAACAAAATTATTGCTTGTATTTCTCTGTCGCAATCTAGAGATGTTTATTCCACCTTCAATTTTAGGTTTCCCAATTTGAGAAGGCAGCTTAAACTTGTTAGGTTTCTATGTACAAGTATCAATTACACAAAGTAGATATTGTATTGAAATTTCGATTCACTTCAATGGAGCTAAGAACAAAACAATACTTGTTATAGGTACTCAAGCTTTGAACAAGTATACATAAGAAAGTATATATACATAATTGTATGTATATAAATATATATATGTGTGTTTCCTTCCTAGTAAAAGGCTAGAGAAAACTGTATATTGAAAGAAAAACAAATTTAGACAAACAGGAATGTATGAATATTGAATATGTTATAAAACAATTTTATTTTTTCTTGCTAACAAAAATGGTTTTATTTTATGAAAGAGGTAAATTCAGTTGCTAACTGTAACCTCTACAATGTGTATTAAAAAATCTTCATACACAAATACATTCTGAGTACCTATGTACAGTGCTAAATTCTTATACTTCTTTTTAGGTTCTACATACTGCAGAATAAAGAAATTGTAATAAGCAATTCTGCTTAATTAGTGTGTACATAAATTTGTACTTTCTCTTTATAAAGGAAGCTGTTTAATTCAATTAGAAAGTCATATTATTATATATCTCACTAGAGCACTCATTCTATATAATTGAATTACTCAACCTTGAAGCATCATAAACATAATAACAAAATAATGTTATTACTTATAAGAACTTTGACATTTCTGTGTTAATTCAATTTTTTGTAATACAATATCATAAATATCTTTCCAAAACATACACCTATGAAAATTCCATAAGGAATCTGGCTATGAATGTTCATATAGTTTAGAAAAGCTATCGTCAGGGTGGTGGAAGACTTCATTTATTTGGAAGTATAAGTTAAAATTTTATCAAAATTGAAATTTAAAAGAGAAGTTAATTATTTTCACAATAAAGATGAACCATCATAAAATTTGATAAGTACTGTTAATGACACCAAAAAGATGAATATAACATTTGTTTATAATTAAGATAATTATATACTATCTTAACATGGTTGAAAACGATTACTTAAATTGTTGTTTAATTATGTTACTAAAATTTATTATCATTATTAAAAATACAATTAAGCAGTACAATATAATAAATCACTTTTTATATTACTCACCGTAAATAAGGGAACAGAATATATTGAGGTATTTTTAACTCATTTTATCTCATTATAATTATTTATTTCAATAAATTATGAATCATAACTAGTTATTTATTTCTACTCTAATTAGTATTATATAATATTCTGTTATTAAATTAAAAAATTGTGTAATTAAGATTTATGTATAGATACTTACTTGGTAGTGCTAAATATTCCCTCAAAGGTATCCAGGGTAATAATAATATTATAAAATATATAACTGCAAACACCAATGACGATGTAAACCAAAACAACATTCCACCGTGTCCGAAAAGGTCGTAATCTCCAATATCAATGTGGAACATGTCGTTGGGCATGATTATCTCAAGAGTGCCTTGTGTTACAGTGAATGCCAGAGATATTAAGGATGTCGCCAGCAAAACATATCTAATACTGCTTCTGCTATCCATGTGACCTAAAATAATATCATTTAAGAAACTTATTTCAAATTTAAAAGTAAATAAACATATTTCAGAAGACATTTAAGTGTTAAATGTTATCATTATATCAGTAACCTTAATGAACCCACAAGTCCAGATCAGTAAATCATAACATAAACAATATCGAACTCACCAAAAGCCAAACCAAATATGACAACACTCATTTCCGTTGCAAGTAAGAAGAATCTTACTATTACCCAGAGTATTTTGTCTATGAGACCTCCGACCGGCATAGCAGCATTCACTGTCATTGATACAGCACATCTTATAACACTGACTATCACATTGCCCCAAACCAATGAATAAAATGTCAGGAATATTGGGCTACTAGTAGCACGTAACTTTAACTGAGCTTTGTTAAATCTTACGACTAAAAATAGCACGAACAGAGCGTTAGGTATCAGTATTATCAAATCCCAAATACGAACTCTGTAACAAAATATTGTATTAAACAAATACACTTTGGCAAACTAAACAATACAAAGTCACTTTGAATTACCTTGAGTTGTTCAATCCATAGTATAAAACATATTTACAGAATGCCTCCTCTTTTACAGGAGGTAAATCTGAGGCATTATTTCCATCCATTATTTTTTTTGTTTTATTTCTCAGCCATTTAGTGTTACGAAATTTTAGAATTCTTAATAGAAAAATATAACTTAACTACTGTAATTTAATTAGTTGCCACATAACGTCAGCTTTGCTCACGCATTATAAAAAGAGTTTTCCTTTGAACTTTTAGATGTTCTCACTTTCTAATCCGATTTGTAAATTACGACACAAAATAAAATAATATACGATAATGTCTTGCGTCCAACTTCGATGGTTTACTTACTTTCATTGATAAGCATAGACTATGATCAAAAATATTATGTATTATATCTATCTGTGGATCTATTTATAAATCAGATAAAACTAAATTGTTATTTAAGTAAAATATTATTTTATTTTTTTATAATCATATTTACAACTTCTTTAAATTTAACCTTAAATAAATATTAATCCAATATATGAAAGGGAGAAAAATTGGCATACTGATACAGATAATGAGGAGTATGTATAAAACCTTTATCTATATATTATCCCAAATAGAAAAATGCCTATATAATTTTTTTTGAAAATACAATTTCTGTGACGGTTCAAACGTGCGAAAGAGAGAGGAAGATCAGTCAAAAAAGAATATCACCATGGTAGAATCAGTAGTAAACGTAGTAAGGTTTCTATTTTATATAAATTATATTTAATATATTTTGCAAGAATTCTGGGATTTCAATAGAACTAGGTACATAAAAATTTCATGTTCCATGTTTTTTATATAAATTGACATCTGACAGTCTTTGACATTTTCTTTCACTAAAGTCCAGTTAGACTGACGTGTACATTTATATTTTGTGACTATTAGGTTAAGCTTGCATTACTACCAAGTATTTTGTCGGTGTCAGTTCTTTTTCTGTTTTGCTGTAAAAAATATTAAAAATACTATACAATATAATACTTTACATAACAATCTAGGTAGTAAAAATTACAAGAAAGAAAACAAAACTCATTATAGTTATGGGTCTCTTAACGGCGACTCTGGGAATTCTATTCCTAGTATCCACTGTCTGGTCAGCGGATGAACCGAAGGGACCGAAAGTTACCCACAAGGTAATATTATCAATTTAGTACAATTTAATATCATTATAATTAATAAATCAAAAATGTAAATTAAGGAGCTTCAAAGCTTGATGAACCGTTGTGATAAAAAAGGTCGCTGACCTTGTGGAGATGACGCTACACGTTTTAAAATTTGAATCCTTTGTTCTAAATACTAAAAATTGCCAACACTATTATTACTTGCATTTTAATAAGAAATATACTTAAATAAATGAATATTTTGTTCATATTATTATTAAAAAATAATGATTCTTAGTTTTGGTGCCAAAAAGTTGTTATTTACGTCTGTGAATAGAAGCTTCTTAATTTATCTTTAAAATTAAGTGCATATGAAGACTTGATGGGTTAAATTAATTTTGTCTCAACTGATATAGGTCAAATCAGTTAAGACTACTTTACTTTACTTATTATTGTTATTCTAATGGACATCTTGCAAAGAGTTGTTTTATTATTTAATAGTTTAGATGTTTAATATTAACTTCTGATGTAGGTAAAATTTGACATCAGCATTGGTGGTGAACCGATTGGAACTATTGCGATTGGTTTGTTTGGCAAAACAGTTCCCAAGACTGTAGAGAATTTCTACCAACTGGCTCAAAAGCCTGAGGGTCAAGGCTACAAAGGCAGCAAATTCCACAGGGTCATCGAAAACTTCATGATTCAAGGCGGTGACTTCACCAAGGGAGATGGAACTGGCGGTATGACTTTTTTATATACATTGAGACTCATAAGTCGATATGATTGTATCTTAAATATTTTCTACATTTATTGGTACTCATCAGGGGATTTATAATCTTGTATTCTTAGTATCACAGAAATTTTGAAATAACAAAAATATCTCAAGTACTTTTTGATATTTTTTCTATGTTATCTGTTAGTTTTTTATCAATAAAAAAAATATTGATAACCTGCGAAATTGGCAATCATTGTTTTATTATTGTTGAAGAAATAATTGGTTCCAATTAACCATTTCAGTTACTTTAACAATGGTTAACAACTGCAAAAAAAATATTGACCATTTCTGATATAAGCAAGTTTTATTTTATTATCAGCATGAAATTGTTTCATAGCGGCAACATTCCTTGATGTAAAAAAAATGTTATCAGTAAAAATTTCATACTTTATAGCTTATAATTATAATATTTGTGATAGGCATGAGCATTTATGGCGAGAGGTTTGAGGATGAAAACTTCAAGCTCCGTCACTATGGTGCCGGATGGTTGTCGATGGCCAATGCCGGTAAGGACACCAACGGCTCTCAGTTCTTCATCACCACCACCAAAACACCTTGGTTAGACGGCAGACATGTTGTCTTCGGAAAAATTCTTGAAGGAATGGTAAGTTCTAATTGTCTCAAAATTTATTGATTTTATAGAAGTTTTTAGTATTTCTACGTGAAAAGTAACTTAAAACAGTCAAAGGATCAAAATTTTTAGCTTGAGTTAATGTTAACTCATAATTTTCTTTGTTAAAGTCTTAAAAATTCTTATTGATTTTAAGACGAGTATATCTGTAATGTCTTTATAAAAATAAATATTAATATATTATTAATTTTCAGGATGTAGTGCGTAAGATTGAAAAGACAGTAACCGGAGCTAATGATCGTCCAGTTAAAGATGTTGTGATAACAAACTCATCAGGGGAAGTTGTACCAGAACCTTTTGCTGTGTCAAAAGAAAGTGCTCAATAAAAATAATTTTATTTTAATAAAAACATCATAATAGAACTTGTTAATATTAATATCCAGTGCATTTATCTGTCACATGTAATTTTATTTTTATATACGTACATACATGTGCATTAAATATATATGTATAATGATTATAAATGAGTCAACTAATTTCTGTTCAAATAAAACTGTTAAATACTCTAGCAGGATATGTGTATTGTATAAGTAACCAGTAATAAATAATAATACTAAAAGTGATAATAAATAATATTATATTTATGCCATATTTTTTATTTCTTTCAAACAAAGTTCAGCTTCACTTTTTATATCATCATTTTTAGCCATGACTCCTAATTTCCAGCCGTAGCCACAGGTTTTTCTTGCAAAATCTAGAAGATTTTTCTTCATGTATGCTCTTCCTAAATTAACATACATCGCCCCCAAATCTGGCATATCTTCAATTGTTTTACCCAAATCAATTGCTTCTTTAAAGTACTTTATACTATCATCAACAGCGCCTATCTTGTCACAAACTGTTCCTATATCATTCAACTGTATCACCAAATGATCTTGACCTATGTCTTTGAGATTTTTCATCTTTTCATATGAGCTTTTCATATACTTCAAGCCGAGCTCACATTTATCACAATCTATGAATAACCTTCCATACCAATCTTCTACCATAGCCTGCAACTGTTTATAATTGTCATTTGGATCTCTATCTATAATGGCACTTAGTTTCTCTAAGCACCAATCAAAACCCAGCTGAGCTGTCGTATATTCATGTTGCATATGGCTTATTCTCGCTAATTTGGCGCTTATATGAATTAGTCGGGGATCATCCTCAGCTATTCCATCGGAAAATAATCTCTGGGAAACCGCCACAAACAACTGCTTAGCTTTACTATATTGCTCTCTTTCTAGAGCTAGATTTGCCATAACGTCATATACATAAGTTATACCGAGCTGATGATTTATTTGCTGCGCCTGTCTCAATGCAACATGTAATAACTGCTCTGCCTTATCAAATTCATTTCTTTGTATAAAGAGAATACAGTGTTTTATTGTCATGATTAATTCATCTTCGGCGTTTAATTTTTTTTCTAGACCAATCAGAGTGAGAATTGAGAAACCTAATGTGTAAGGGACTGGGGCAATAATGGTTTTTGGTGTAAAAATTGGTATTACAGCCGAGCATCTAGTTCTATAACTTAATTTAATCTGGTTTAACCTTCTCCACATAAATCTTATCCTGGAGGACATTTTAGCTGATTTTTATTAAAATTTATAGATTACATAACCCTAATTTATTATACTATTCACAAAACCCCTTCAATAATTTTGCAATTTTTTCCAGACGAAATTATTGTTATATTCCTAAATTAAAATTTAATATGGCTGTAGTTTTATTAAACTTACAAAGCTATACCTAAAATAGGTGAATGCTACAATAACTCTACCAGTTTTCATTTCAATTCTCGTTAAAACATTTCATCAATGTTGACTTTTGACACATGTCATTTCTGCTTAAAAAAAGTGTAAGATTGTTAGTCCAGGTTCTAGCTTTTGACTTAAATAACAATAGTAAAAAAAAAACGACCAAAGCAAACAGAAAAACATTTCCAAATAAAAAATAGCACCAGAGTAGATTAATTCCACACATATATATAAGAATGTGTATACTAATATATAATTTACTGTTCTTTAGCAGACAACGATGTAAAATATAATAAATTATATTTTAATATTAAAATTACTTATTCCCTTTTTAAAACCTTTGAGAAGATTTGGCACTGGTTGTTTTCAAATTTGTTTTGGGCTTATTTTTAACCAGAAGGTTCCCATCAAAAAGTAGGAACGCAATTCTCCGAACTAATTAGGAAAAAACTTTACGGTACAAAGATATAAATTTTCTTTAAAGTGCAATATTTTATTGTTTTTAGATATAAATTTTTATACTTAATTTTTGGTTATATTTTCCATAAACAATTATTATGTTAATACTTTGAGGACCTGCCAAAGTAAAACGACGGTTTTCCGGAAATTTAAAGCATTTCTGTCGGTTAGTATGTTTTATTTAAGTTAATACATTCTTCATATAACCTAGAAGCATACGTGTCATCGATGGTGCTCGAACACTCGAACCACTATTACTTGTATTTAGCCAAACTTAACCGCCACGATGGTGTTTGTCTGGAAATAATAATATTAAATTTATGCGTTATATAAAATGTATCTATTCCAAGTCATCACAATTACTTTGATTTATCATATAAAAGAAGTAAAATCATACAATTTGTTTATATTATCAACATCATAGATCTGTTGCCCCAATACTGTAGCACTATCTCTTCTATTAATCCATTGTCGTGTAGGTTTCATGTAACGACATTTTGTGTTTAAAACGCATTGACTCGACTCTGTTTGGACGGATGTACTTCTGAAAACGAACATCAACATTAAACATCCTATATTTTCTTTAATAATTTAAGAATTTAAGTATTTCGTATAATTTCATACCTTAATTCATCATCAAAACTGGATGATGCTTTATTCATGTCTAAAAACAAACAAAAAAAAAAGTTTGTTAAATATATAGTCATAAATAGTTTCGTTACTAATTTTTTTTTCCTACCATACCTGTACGAAGGTAAATAATATGAAAGTACATATATAATTGAGAGCAGCTGAGAGTTTTAAATATCGATCTAACACAAGAATATCGTCTTAATATAACAATATAAGATACAAATAAAGATTTACAAACGAACATCAAACGTGATTGATTAAATCATGTACATCCTGTTCACAAGGATGAGTTGTGACATCCTTATTTTCAATCAACGTCTTTAATGACGTCCTTCATCTATCAAGAAGTTGCTTTATTATTAAGTTAAGCAAAGGCATTGATAGTTCTGCTATATATTTATTCATTTTCAATAAAGAGTTTCAATATAACTCACAAATAAGCGTAATTTATTAACTCAGTTTAATAACGTTGAGATATAAAAATTACCTTTTCGTGGTAAATTTTGTCCAATCCGTGTATTTTTTAATTCACATGTAATGTCCGGCGTAACTAATTTATTCTGCAATTCAAATATAACGTATTATAATGCGTTAAGAAAAAATATAAAATTCTGCTAAAAATAATTTGTAGTCATATAAATAAACCTTTTCTCTTATAGGTTGTTTTATTTTCTTCTTGTTTTCTTTCCAACGATTTAGAGCGATTTCTTGACGTGTTTTAAGACGTAAATATTCGGAATACCATTTACCATGAGAAACGATATCGTCTGGTTTAGAATCTGGAGGATAAAAATAGTTTCATATTAAATACCAATAAAATATATAATTTGAAATACCAATAAACATCATTATTAATAGCGTCTAAAGAACAAATCATTTGCCAAGGTCATTTATAATATGATTTAAAAAAGTTGTAAGACTTCTAATAAAATATAACTGGCCTTAAGGAAATATTTGCATTATTATTTTAATCCAATAATTTAATGAATACGTATTTAAAAACATCATGAAACTAATACGATATAATAGATACCATATTGATTAAAAAGATACACCTGACCTTAAAATGTTAGTTAAAATCAAAGTTATTTATTAATTTAAAATTAATTCAAATAATAAAACCATTTTATTCATTTGATTCAATACCTACTTGGTATTTTAGCCAAAGCTTCATTTTTAAAATCGTCAAAAGTAGAAGACTGTTCAATATTATTTGATGTTATTAAAAAATCGTCGAAATATTTTTTCCATATTTGTGTGAATACGTTGTGATTGTATTCATTCCATCCGCCATATTTGTTTTGGCTGCTCTTCATAAATGCTTGGAATTCTTGCACTTCCTTTAAAATTTGGTGCATTAAATATTGTGCAAATATTACTTTCTCGGTTTTTGCATTATAATTACATTTGCTAATTCGAAAACAAATTTAATAAATAAACTAAAATTTATTAGTGTTATGGAAAATAATCGTAATTAAGGAACAAAACAAAAGAGGATTACTGTATGTAATATGTTGTTGCAATCAGTAAAAGCAAGTATAAATTATGAAAACATTTTTTGTGTCCATTAAGCCGGTTAAAATATAGCACAGTTTAGCCGTTCTTATAACCATTTTTTTATCTTCTAACGTTTTACGCTACATGAATGTAAGTTGTAACATGATTACCGAGCATTTGAACGGAGAATTAATTATAGCTCGTACAGGACTCGTCACAATTTCATTGTACTGATTAACATTAAAGCCATTATGACTTTTAAATTTCCTCTCCTTAACTGTGCTGTCAATATCCTGCATCATAAATCAAATATAAACAAATAATAAATAAAGATTAATTGACTAGCATACTAATATCAGACGACCTTTTCCTTAATAACATTTTCCTCAAACTGTAACGTCCGTAATTCACTTCGTATATATTGCTTGAATGACTTTATCTTAGACTCCAATTGCGTTATATCTCTTTTTAAATCATCTATATCTACAACATATAAAAGTTTATATTATATAAGTATTACCTATTGCTTTTTAAAATTTTGGCACAATTTATCACCTGTCAAAACATTCAGCTTTTAAATAATTGAACAAAGATAAATATTTGTCAATACTGAATACATACCGATTTTGTCAAGAGAGTCTCCCGAGTTAGTTTTAATTTTAATGTCTTCAAACAAATTTTTAATTTCAATAAAAGAGTTTTTTAAATGAACACAACATTTTTTAAATTCCAATTCATTGTCGTGTTCATAGTATTCCTTATAATCTGGACATTTCAGTAAAGAATTTTTTACGTTGGCTATTAATACACTTTCTTGAATTTTAAGTCTTCTTATACGAGCTCTAAAATCGTCACTACTACAAGCCTCATTGTTTACTTGAGTATCCATTTAGCTTACGATTCATATAGTTTTCTTCTATATTAAATTAAAAGTAAACAGAATTGTTTCGATATAAAAAGAAATGGAACAAATTTATTGTATCGATCAAACTTTCATCGAGGTTGTCAGGGAGATAAAAGAATTTTGTTATTTTTCTGAAATGAAGGCAAATTTTGTTATTTTCTCACACAAGAAACCAGTTCTATAGAAACAAATATGGAGTTTGTATGTACAATAAAAATAATTGAATATAGATACTTCATTCGATAATATACATATATATTGAAAGTATTGGTAAATAGAAAATTATTACTATTTTAGATATGAACATTTTTAATTTTATTGTTATGTCTCTTGCTTTATAAATTTTCTCTCGTGAGAGGCAGAATTGTAAGTAAGTAATATATTTATTTTTTATGTGAGTTAACCAATTCTTGTAATTTTAATATTCTTAGGAAAGGTTGCAATATTGTTTTAACTAAGTAAAGATTGTAGATTAGTCTAGTAAACTTTGTTTTAGTGGTTCATAATGAATAAAAAATATATTTTTTAATGTTTATTAAAATCGCTACCAGAAATTATTTAATACACATTTCTTCTCTATGATTTTATTGATTGATTAAATAGACTTAGTTTATTTATTTAACAAATAATTGTTAATCCGTAGATGTTTATAACATTTTCTTGATAATAAGAAAATAATAATTATTTAATACATTTTGTTTTATCACTCCAGGTTATAACTTACTGTCATATAACGCTGTCATTGTCAGTAAAATAAAGAAGGGTATTTTTCTGATAGGTTTGGAGGAACCGGGAATGAAATGTGTTAATTTTATTTAATTTTGTGTAACATTTGATAACTCCAAAATAACTATGTTCTCCCGATCTAAATTACTTTTCTCGAGGATAACACCTCTGAAAGTACGTATTTACATTAAAGTGAAATAACTTGTTTCCGATTCCATTTACGCAATGATTTCTGAATTTACTTTATTTCAGAATACTTTTAGTGTAGATTTTCAAAATGGGCCCCGTGTGTTGTATGGTATATCATCAGTGAGAAATCGTTCTACAACTCCAATCAATACGATTATAATGTTTGTTCCACAACAAGAGGTTAGTTTGTCTATACATCATTGTATTATAAGTTGGATATTCTGTTAAGGTTTGAAAATTATTGCAAACGCCTAAAATTCTTAAAATCAAATACAAAACAAATGTTCAAATAAAATAAAGTCTTCATAAATAAAAAAATCTTTTTAAACTTTTGAATTTCTTAAAACCTTTTCTATCATTTCTTCACACAGGCATGGATCGTAGAGAGAATGGGTAAATTTCACAGATTACTGGAGCCAGGACTCAATTTGCTTTGGCCAATTGTAGACAAAATCAAGTATGTGCAGAGCCTAAAAGAAATAGCTATAGATGTTCCAAAGCAGAGTGCAATTACATCTGATAATGTTACTTTAAGTATTGATGGTGTATTGTATCTACGAATTGTTGATCCATATTTAGGTAAATTGAAGTATTTTTTAGATTTTCTTAGTGTATCTATTGCTTTGTCAGGGTTATTTTATTAAATATACCACAAGTATGTCCATATTATTTGGCTTTGCAATTACAGTTTGGACAGTATTTTTATAGAAGAAACTTGCATAATAAGCCTTTTTTGGATATTTATATAATTAACAATATATTTCTTCCAAATGTTTAGCATCCTATGGAGTGGAAGATCCAGAGTTTGCCATAACACAACTAGCACAAACTACAATGAGGTCCGAGTTGGGACAGATATCACTAGACAAAGTTTTTAGAGAACGAGAGTCACTTAATGTTTCTATAGTCCATGCCATTAATAAAGCAAGCGAAGCATGGGGCATTACTTGTCTCAGATATGAAATACGTAAGTCATTTTGTTGACCAAGTAGCCTTTCCCATAGTCAAACAGATAATTACGTAATACAGCTGAAACTCTTCTAAATTAACAACTTTTAAAGTAATTTTTTCACAATAAGTAATAAATTAAAAACTTTCTTTTCTGATAATTTTGCTTCAAATGTAGATACACTCAATTTTCCAATGGTAGATGATATAACATTATTAGTAGAATAAAAATGTGGTGGGTGATTACTATTTATTCCACCAGCAGACAGATAGGAATAATTTGTATTCATTTGTATAAGAAAAATACCTTAATTAGCAATATATTGTGTAATAAAGTAGCCAATAAATATATAATTATATATTTTATTTCTAGGGGATATAAAGCTGCCGACCAGGGTACATGAAGCCATGCAAATGCAAGTTGAAGCTGAGAGAAGGAAACGAGCTGCTATATTAGAATCTGAAGGTGTTAGAGCAGCTGATATTAATGTTGCAGAAGGAAAACGTCAATCAAGAATATTGGCTTCTGGTAAATCAGTATTTTATATGACATTTTATAACTTATGGAATATTTTGTTATTTATAATTTATTATTATTATAATATAGTATTAGTATGCTGGTTTTACAGTAGGGTCTTTAGAAAGTTGTGTGAGACAGTTTCTTTTGCAGACACAATGTCAGAATTGTTGCCTATTTCGATTAATGTAGCTACATTGATTTTTCATTGCTATGGTATAAAATATTAATATCTGAAACTATCATTGAAAATTGTAATTGGTTGGATTGAAAACCATGAGGAATTGTTATTTATTAGTAAATCTCATTGTTGTCTTTTGATAAATTGTTGATTTTCAAGAATAAAATAGAGCTTAGCTACCCTATGTCTTAATATTAAGTGGTACTTCACTTTATGATTTTTAATAACTATTTTGTATTGCTATAGACTATAGGTAACCATAATGTTATTACGAGTACAGTGTTTTATACCTAGTTGGAATTGTTCATAATCCAATTCTTATCTTATCAAAGTCAAAATTGAATCAAGAAACCTTTTTTAATAAATTACAATTCCTCAGAGGCTGAGAAGATGGAGCAGATAAATAAAGCGTCAGGTGAGGCTCAAGCTATGTTGGCGGTTGCCGAAGCTCGAGCTAAAGGACTTACCATCGTAGGACAGGCGCTCGCAAAAACGGTATGTTATATATACAGCATAATAAATAATTTTAAATGCATGATAGTTAAAATTTATAGCAAAACGATAGCCATCAAATATGTGAGAGCTATGGTAATTTCATTAGACTTAAAGTTTATCTATCTAAAAATAGATTAAGCTTTATTCATGAATGTTTTAAAATTTATTAAAATACTAGAAGACCTGGTGAACTTCGTATCGCCCTATAATCAAAAATATCTATTACGTTTTTTTATTTATATTTTTGGAGTTTACCTGTCAGCCATAAATCTCCGTGTTTTGAAGTGCGACAGAATGATTGACATATTAGTTAGTTGTTAAATCTGATGTCAAAAAAAACGTTTGTATGGGAAATAGAAAAGGGCTGTTTTTATGGTTTTCCCAGTAATGAATCAATTTTTTTCAGCTTTTATACCTTCCCTGAACCTCCATGAACATTTCAAGACTAAGATGAGATAAATCCGTTCAGCTGTTCTCGAGTTTTAGCGAGACTAAGGAACAGCAATCCATTTTTATATATATAGAAAATTACACAAAAATTTGGTTAACTCTAAATAGGAAAGAATGATACACTCGAAGATTATTTTATATATTTTCTCAAATGTTTTCGTAACGTTCATATTTAAATTAATTTATACTGTGTATTATCTAAATATTGTATTAAATTTCAGGATAGTAAACACGCTGCCGCGCTTACGTTAGCCGAGCAGTATGTATCAGCATTTAATAAACTAGCAAGAACAAACAATACTCTCATACTGCCAGCAAATGCAGGGGATGTTTCAAATTTGGTCGCTCAGGTTAGTTTCCAATATATATTTATTAAATGGCATTGCACTTAAAATTTATAGTACATAAGCTCAGAAATAACTTGTATTACCTTTAATATTTCGAAAATATAATAAGAATTTATAAAGCTAATTTGACTATCCAAAGTCTTCAACAATGATCTTATCAAGTAGTCCCCAAAAAATATTATGTATGTGTGTGTATCTGTTTCACTATTTAACTCATTCAAACTACATAATAATTACATTAGAAGATCATAAAGATATATCTCTTTTATCCTTAAATATCAAACTGAAAGTTCTTAGAAAATCGAAAACTGATTACATTAGCCAGTTATTAGTTCTATTATATCTTTTCAAAATATGTATCGTCCATTCACGTCAATATACCGCTGCATGCGATGGAACCACTGGGAAAAGCACTTTGCCCACTCGTCCTTAGGGGTCTCTTCAATGGCATCGTGATACGCAGCCACCGCTTCTTCAGTATTCATAAACCGCTTTCCTTTAAGTTTTTCTTTAATTTTTGGACATAAATAAAAATCACAAGGCGCAAGGTCGGGGCTATACGGCAGGTGACCCAGTAATTCAACGTTTGATGTCGCCAAATAGTCGATCGTTAGCTTGGCGGTGTGCGACGAGGCGTTGTCGTGGTGAAGGAGGATCCTACTGCGAGGTCGTTTCTCTCGAACTTTTTCCAAGACAAGTGGCAAACAATTGGTAGTGTACCATTCTGCAGAAACTGTTTTTTGATCCTCTAACACAATTGTTGCGAAATGACCTATCCTTCCAAAGAACGAGGCCACTATTTTTTTCCCGCACTTCGATCTCTCTTCACTTTAATTGGCAATTCCTCGAAAGGACACACCCACTGAGCAGATTGTCTTTTGGTTTCAGGATCATAACAGTAAATCCAGCCTTCGTCACCTGTTAGTATGTCGAACACAGCATTTGAGTCACCTCCATTAAATCTTTCAATCATTTTACGCCACCAATCCACACGATGGAGTTTTTGAGCCTCAGTCAAATTATGAGGTATCCACCAGGCGCAAAGCTTCCTGACCGCTAAATGTTCGTGGAGGATTTTGTGCACTTGACTCATACCGATGCCTAAGCTTGTCCGAATCTGCTGATAGGTCACTCTTTTGTCAGTCTCTATCATACGCCGCACAACACAGATGTTATCTTCAGTCGTCGCCGTAGAAGGCCGTCCCTCAAGTAAATCATCATTGAGATTAGTGCGACCACGTTTAAACTCATTAAACCAGTTGTAAACAGTCGCACGGGATGGGGCCTCATCGTGAAAGGCCAATCGTAGTCTATCATAACTTTCTTGTTGACTTAAATGACATCTAAAGTCATAAAAAATCATTGCACGAAAATTTTCTCGTGTTAAATTCATGTTGACGTGACACAGACAATTTTCAATTTGCCGCCAAATCGTAAAACAAATTACAAATATAGGAAATATATACTCAGTAATATTGGCAAAGAGTTCTATTTTCAAATTTAGTATTATTTTTTTATTATATTGTTTATAAGTGGCCAGTTCTAAGAACTTTCAGTTTGACCCTCGTAGTAAACTTCTAATAAGAAAGTCCATTACCAACTTACTTACAAATAAAATGTACAATAGATATTGAACAATTCTATATATGTATCCAAACCCTGAATAAATTGCTAAATAATTCATTAATACAAATTTATATTATTTTATTTGCAGGCAATGTCAATATATTCAACAGTAACTTCACAAAACAACCATAACCATGTACCTCATGGTGAGCCGATCATACCTGATATAATGGCCGAGGATCCTATGTATAAACTCAATATGCCAAATGACAAAGGTTTGACAATGGCTGGACAAGCCGTTCCTAATGAGGACTTGGCGGAATATTTCTCAGACGATGAGGAGAGGGAAAAGGCATTGCAGACACAGAAAGACAAGAAAAAGCATTTGAACACATTAGAAAAAGATCCATAGAAATGTTAAGTATTAACCATTAATAAATCAAACAAATAATTAATTTAAAAAGATTATTTTATTACCCATAACAAATAGAAATCTTGTTAAATGTGTGATAAATATACCTTATCACTTGTAAAAAGTCATTCCTACTAGTTCAGTATGGAGTTAAGAGAATTTTCTTCCAATGCTAAGTTTCTCAATGTCAGTCAGATAAGACAAATATAATATTGTCCCTTTTAAGTTTATAAATTCGTGGAATGTTACAACTATACCAGCTATCATAGAAAAAGAGAGGTATATTATTTTGTTATTGACGTCATATACATAAATCAAATTTTAACCACGTACGCGTTTCTAACGTGTAACAAATTAATCTGTCATTGAAATATATGAGGTGAAACAAATCCAATCTTATATGGATTATTTTAATATGATTGAATTGTCACTGTTTTATTTATGGTTATATAAAATTGATACATTACAAATCATTTACAGTCAATCTTAATATGACATCTTAGACTATTAAATAATAGTATTATTTTAACCACACTTTAACATAACAAATTGTTTTAAATTATGTACTTTAACATACCCATAACAGATATTACTATTGCAAAGAGCAACAAGTAAACGAACTTCACAATATTTTAACAAATTTATCCTTTTGGTTGAAATAACTTACTGACCCTTCTTCGGATTGATTTTGTGGTGAAATCTTGTGGAGATTTAAATATGAAGGGGAGAGATCAGTGCCGTCAAATTGACGCAAGTGTATCTGGAAATATAATAAATTGATGTTTGACTTAACAAATATTTATCAACATTTCAAAGTTTATATAGATAAAACATTCAACTTTATGACAATGCCATTAGACTGATCATTATATGTTATCATTACTTCTTTACTAAAGACCTTATGTGTTACTCACCAATAAATGCAAATTAACTTCGTCACTTCTACTCAAATAGGGAAAATTGCCACCGCTTTTTAAATGAGCCAATTTAGCATGCGGGTATGACTTGTAGAGATCTTCACGAACTCTTGAACTAAGTGCACCATCATCCCAAACATCCATTATAGTTATGGGAATGTCACCAAGTATTTGAGGTTGAACATAACTCGGTGTACAGTTTAGAGTTAGTCTTGATGCTAACTCAGACTGTGTTAATGTTTCAAGCTGAAAATTAAATTTGATTGAATATATCGTTGATGAAGTACCAATACCTCCTAACTGACAATTTAGTCCAAAAGTACTTTTTTATTACAATAGACATAAAAGTCATATTTGCATAGATTGACTTCACTCCTATCCGATATTTCTTTACCAAACAGTTTCTTGAGCTATGTGAAGATAAGTAATAAGTGGCAGAATTTATTCATTCGTATATATTTTACAGTACAGTAAAATTAGATTCTCAACACTTAGGAAGTATTGGTATTTCATCGACGATATACAGTTCTATAGCTATGCAAATCATAGTGTTCTATTTTGTATTTATAATTTTTACTTTATTTATATATTCACATACAGAACCCATAAAAGTAGTAATGAAATACAATTACATTCTTAAATTAATTTGTAGCATAAGTTAAGATATCTTAATGCAGTAAAAAATAATAATTTCAAGGTTTTTATGTAATAGTTTCATATTTCCAAGGTTATGGAGTGGTTACAAATAACTCAACATCATACCCTTTCAACCATGAAATCTATTGATTCTGCAATTCTCTTGTCCACTTTTTCACATGTGAAGTTTCCCATTAACATGCGCTTAAGCACTAAAGATGGTAGAAGCCAGAATAGAGCTACAGAGTCATGATATTCAAACACAGTTGTGTCAGTGAAAGTATTGCATAAAACAAGGGATGCAACACGGGGACAGTTTTTCGTTATTTCTGTAAATTTTTGTGCTAAAAATCCACCTGAAAAGCATTTACAATTCATTATCACACAAAATATATATAATGCAATTTAACTTGAAAACTAAAAATTTAACAACGAAGCAAAAGTATCTCCAACATGTATAAAGTAGTAATAATGTTCATAAAACTCATGTTACAGTTACCTAATGAAGCACCAAATATATGTATTTTATCTAGTTCAAGGTAATCAATAAGTCGTTTGAATCCATCACACCACTCTTTTAAATTCCAATAAGGTGGAGGTTCTACTCCGATAACGCGAATTCCTCGTGTAGTGAGACCCATGATCTGTTTGTAAAAAATATCGGCCGTACCCGATACTGGTGGCAAACATATAAGTGGACAACTAACAGATTTGGGGCCACTGTCGAATATTTTCCATGTCTGTAAAGTAAATTTATCATATATACAACACATATGTTACAAAATTATCGCTAGATAATGTTAATATTGTAATTTCGAATCAAGAAAATGGTAAAAGTATTCTCATTTTGTTTACCTTTGTATCATTTATATCTGAGTCAACATCTATTTTTCGTAGTGGTATACTACTACGAAAGCTTAAATATTCATTAGATTGAGATAGGTCACTTAAGTAACTCATATTAAATTATTAATTACAGGTATGTAACAGATTTGAAAATATATTATAGTTGAAAATAGAAATACATGACTACTTCAACACCGTCGTAAATGTAAGGAAAATTGACAACTGGTTTATACTATTTGACAGTTTCAATTGACAATTGATAACAGAATGGGGAAAATAAATTGTCAAAAGTATAATTGGGAAAGATTCTAGGTTTATTGCCTAAGAAGATTAAAGATCGAAATATTTAAGTTGCATCACAATCTTAAATTTAGTAGATATATATCCTAAATTTACTGTATAGCAGAGTGGATAAAGTTTTAATTAATTTAATTAGCGACGAACGCTCTAGTAAATATCAATTAAAATAACCTGGCATGCATAAGTTCATGTCTTAATTCTTAAGCTTTACTTGTATATCGTAGCTTTTTTAATAAAACGGATCTAAAAAAAGGAGAAATACGTAATAGTATTTTATTATAAATTCAATATATGTAGGCATGCGATTGAACGCTAATAAACCTTCCCTTCAATACAAGCCATTTGAATGTTGTAGGGAATTCTTTAACAATGACATTGTATGATTTGTTCCGTTATCGTTAATAGAGATAGAGATTAAAAATGTTAAGTAGATATAGACGGTAAAAGACAGCGATTCAGCAATCAGACAGGAACAGGATTACTTGAATGTAACGAGTGGAGGATGGAGTTATTAATTTTAAAATATTTAAACTAATTACCGTTTATAACCAGTGACGAAGTCATTACTGATGGAACACGAACTGTTCTTAAATTAAATTTAGTTATCAGAAAAAAATGCATTTAATTCAGCTATTCAATCAAAATTATGGAAAATTTAAGCCATTTTATTTATAAACATTATTTATAGCATTCATCTTTTTCAGTTAAATGTTCTTAAACAAAGTGTGTTAATTTTTATGATAATATTAACTGCTCATCATACTTTTGGTTCTTACATTGGTACGAGAGCTAGCAACGTCAAAAAAACAAGCATTTCAGGTAGGCTAGTTTTTAGATATGGTATCTCTCACACTCCCCTGGACGTCCTACGGGCTATCTGGCTGCCAGTAGTGGTTGCGTTCATCAGTGCGCATCGTACTTGTGGAGGTAAAAAATTAATATATCAAATCATTTTAAGAAGGTTTTTATTATTATTATTATTATTATTGAACTATTCACAACATAAATTTATTATTGCCAGGTATTTTTATTGTTGTTTAAATGGTGCCAAGCGGCAATTTTGAATTAAAAAATTTTTTTTTTCAAACTATTTTAGTATAGCTGAAATTTTAATAGCATGATATTTAACTATCTAAAAGCTCAGAATTAATTTGCCAGGAAAAAAATCGGTTGTTAAACTTTTGCCAGATCGAAATAAAGTGTAAAGTGATGTAGTATCATTTAGCTTGGTCTAGAAAATTAATCGTCTAATAAATAATGGAAGAAGGAATAAAAAGTAAAAACTATTGAATTTATTTATAGATGAATACAAAATTGAGATAATGATCAATGTTAAGTTTGAAAAAGATCATCATCTTCATCACTGCTGTCATTTCCATTGTCATCATCCTCCTTAAAATTATTATCATTTTGTAATAAGCTGTTATCTGTAATAGAATCAAAAATTTTAATATCTTTCGAGAAATAATTTATTTTTGTATTTTAGTTCAAATTTTTACCTTTAATAATAATATCGGCAACTAATGTTGGTAATTGCTCCCCAACGAACCAGATAAAATCATATTTATCATCATTAATGGTCCAGCCAGAAGCTTGAGGTGATAGAGATGTTGGGTATTTTAAATAAGCATTTCTCCAAAACGTTGTGACATAACGAACTCGTAGTAAGTGTTGATATAACTCAGCTTTACTTGGTGGTAGACTTGATGGATCAAAATTACGGAACTTTTTTTCAAAATTATACGATAGGGTTTTAGAAATCATACGTGAAGCGGTTAGTCTTTCGGTAGCCAGAGCGCTTTTTCAAACTTAGCATTGATCATTATCTCAATTTTGTACAACAATAAAGTATTATTTTTATACCGTATTCATCTATAAATAAATTCAATAGTTGTTAATCCTTCTTCCATCATTTATTAGACGATTGATTTTCTAGACCAAGCTTAAATGATACTACATCACTTTACACTTTATTTCGATCTGGCAAAAGTTTAACAACCGATTTTTTTCTTGGCAAATTAATTCTGAGCTTTTAGATAGTTAAATATCATGCTATTAAAATTTCAGCTATACTAAAATAGTTTGAAAAAAAAAATTTTTTAATTCAAAATTGCCGCTTGGCACCGTTTAAACAACAATAAAAATACCTGGCAACAATAAATTTATGTTGTGAATAGTTCAATAATAATAATAATAATAATAAAAACCTTCTTAAAATGATTTGATATATTAATTTTTTACCTCCACAAGTACGATGCGCACTGATGAACGCAACCACTACCGGCAGCCAGATAGCCCGTAGGACGTCCAGGGGAGTGTGAGAGATAGCATATCTAAAAACTAGCCTACCTGAAATGCTTGTTCAAAAACGTTGCTAGCTCTTAGAATACATTAACCAACAACATTCTTACATAATTTAAATTGAACCTTATAACTCATTTACTCGCCATTAAGTTAATTCCTGTTTTGGAAAGGAATTTCTGGGGTTTATAATTTAACAATTTAATAACCACTTATCATATTTTTCTCTTCATTTAAATAAATTTTGTTGTTCACGTCCATCGTTGCAATTATTATAAGTTTTTTAGGAAGAAACAAATTCACTAAAAAACATCTGCGAAAAGGTGAAGTAAGAAAATCATAATTACGCATTCAAACACATGCCATTTATTATTGAATATCATTATGTAATTAACATTTCTCGTGACGTCCTACAATAATTTCCAAACCACTTAATGCGAATTCTTAAGCTATGTAACGCAATAGATTCCGGACGATTTTATTACAAATTCAAGGTTTATTCTAATGTTTAGTTCACATAAATTTATATTCTACGGGGATAGAAAAAAAATACATATGAAAGTATAAAGTCTAAACACTACATACATAGAATTCATTTCAAATTCTTATATAACGGCATTATGAGCCTAAACTTTAGTGATATAATGGATCAATGTTTATTTTTTTACACATAAATTGTCATGATGACAGTGACGTTTTTTATTTGAAGCGGGAATAATTTTTTGAGGTTAAAATACTAAGCAAAACATTTAAGTCATACTATAATATGTTGAAAGTGTTTGATATTGTATGTTATGTTAAATTTAGCTTAATTTACATTATAATATTTACTTATATAATTTCGTTTAAGTAACACTAAGGTATATAGGTATATGAATGTACTTTTTGATTACAACTTATATTGTATGAAACGTCTCCAAATATCATACACCTTTGATTTGAGCATACCTTTGTAAGAACAATGAACACTACTATTTATAGACTGTACACATCATAATAGCAAATGAACTCATTATTATTTACATTGTTAATAAGATATGTTAAACTAAATGAAACAAAATTAAGTTTACTAAAAAGCTATAATCAAACTAACACAAGAATAGAAGCAAATGACAGAAATTGATTAAAAAATATTATTGATATTTAAAATAGGCCCTATTACAAGAGAACTAATAATAAATCATTATAGAAATTACTTATAAATGAAATTAATCTATACATTATAAGCGGTACGGACTATTCAAAAGGACCATAGGTATATTAGAGTAAAATATATTTTTTTCTATTATGTATATATTATTACCTTCACTGTTTTAAAATGGCAAGAATTAGGATATCAGCAAAATAGGGTCAAAATTTATTTAAGGAGGCTCTATTGATCCGATGACAAGAAATTTTGGCAGTGCTTTATGTATCTCATATTCCTAAACGATTATTTAAATGAAACATTCAAATACTACATAGAACAACATGCAAAGTTATATCCTCACTAAAACCTACATCGTTGATTAGTTAATTACCAATTTGTACTTGAAATCTACCGATTATTTATTTTTGAAACATTACTACCCAAAATTATGAGATAGAAATATACAAAATATTTTTTATACTGTTAAACATTCACATATATGTCAAATATTGTATCAATTCGACCAAAACAAGTACAAATTGGATAAACTTAAAAATTACAATCTATTTCTATAAACATTTATTGGCATTTATTAAGCAGATGGATATGTTTTAATAGGATTGTCTTTAAAAATATTAAAATAACATGATATTTTACTTTTACTATAGATATAAATTAATCCGTTGAAAATATTATAATGTAAATAAAGGCAATCCTATTAAATAGCAGCTCTGCCTTTTCAACAAACCCTAAACAAACTTTAGATACATTTTGTTGAACCGATATTAACTCAATAGATAAGTCGAGTGGACTATGAAAGGGGTCTAGTAGTTTAAAATGGTCTCATAAAATTTTGGAAGTATGTTTATATTATGAATAATTCACTTGGTATTGGTTTACCATGTGGACTATATGCGACTATCAGTTTAAGGCGCCTATTTATCGAAAACAATCGTCTATTTTAAATCAAATAGCCTTAAAATGAGACACAGCTAGAATAGCTACAATTATAGGAAATGAAATTCAAAAACAACGATTATTTGCGATAAATTTTAAATCAAACGTATTATAGTCCACAAGATATATATTAAATATCTGTCTTAAATATCGTAATATATTCATATAGTCCGTTTTGTATGACGTCTAGTCCGCTTGCCGTATATTCCGTATGTGCTATACTTCATATGGGTATAGTCCGTCCGCTTGAGATCTCCGTTGTATCACGACTCCCCGTTGCCGCTGTCGTCTCCGTCTTCACCTCCAAGCTCGCCTTCGGAATCCGTGTCCAGGTCGTCGTAATCATCGTCATAGAAATCAGTCATATCGAGCTGTAAAGATACATAAAGATAAAAAAAGATTAACACTATATTTTTAATTCCATTTGATTTAAAAGAAAATGTATAAACGACATAGCTTCGTCGTTCCATATTGATTTAGAATTAATGTTAGAAATAAAAAATATGTATGATCATTGAATAGCTAAAAGTTTATTAGATTTAAAACCTGTCATTTAAAGATTATAGTGGCACGCGCGAGGCGCTTAATCGAGGAATCATAGGACAAAAATCGTTAACGGTTTTTTTGGAAAAGAGCACCACTATTAAGAAACTGGTTTTCAAATGACAAAAATTCATTGAAATCGGTCAATTCGTTTGAGACCCACGATATCACACAAACAGAAATCGACATTAAACTTATAAGAGTCTCCTTTTTGAAAATATTTTTTACATTTAGTTACAACTCTTTACTTATAAAAAAATATTTATTTTTATGTTATTTCTATTTTTTATATTTGATACACCTTGATTTTTCCTTATAAATTCCGCCCTGGATTCAACTAAGAAATGTGGAATAAATATTCAGTTTTATTCCAGACGTCTTACTGATAATGATATACGGATATCGAAGTATCGTTTGAAAAATGTATAAACTCCTTGGGGGGAAGGAGCTCGTTTATGCTGAATTGTTTTAAAAACTGAATCTTCATTCCATATTCACATAGCAAAGTTGTTGTTACGATGAAAATAGACGACGGTGAATATTTTATAACATTCAAAGAAAATTGGAACTTACATACTTCGGAATGAAAGTGTTGTTGTATTGTTTTGTATAGAAAATGTATTAAATACAAAAATATGAACGAATTACATGTTCTTTGAAGAGATATGAAGTTTTGTTAAGAGTGAAGACAATTTAGTTAACTAATATTTATTAGTTTTTTTCTATTTAAACTAATTTGGAACAATGACGCGAAATGACTTTTCTAAGAAAAAAATTATTGTCAATTGCATTATATTTGCTGGCATACCCAACTAACGAGTAGTATAAAAAAAAATTGAATTTAGAACCTAGCGTGGAAATTCGTTAAAAAAATATTTAAAAATGGAACAACAATATCTTAAATTATTTTCAAATGTAACGTGTTATTAATTATATAAAGTTATTGAATAGTATTGTTTACTCTAGTTTGAACAATGGTTACATCAATATTTGTTTACGTAAACCGACCATAAATGTATTGTTATACATATATTAGAAAGGGTTTTGTACATTTCATTGAATGGAATGAAGAATGAATTTTAACGTTGAATAAAACTGTTATTATAAATATTATAAACTGTTATTGAATATATGTATAGTGTTTATTTAAAACTAACAAAATGATCTTATTTTTAAATTGTAAAACGTGAGAGTAAAGGCCTTAATGAAATTTAGAAACAAAAAAAACATATTTGCAGACTTACGCAAATGTATTTATGTATATTCGTGCCTGCCTATGCGTGTGTGTGTATGTGTATATGTGTGTACGTGTGTGTGTGTGTGTCTGTGTGTGTGTGTGTGTGTAACCAACCTGCGGTTCCTGTGTCGAGGACTTGACCTGTGTCTTAATACAATAATCTTCTAAGGTGAGCGGCACCACTATGCCTTCCTTCTCAGCCTCCATACGAGCCACTTGCGCCTGTTTCCTGTAATTAATTGGTATTGGTTTAAGTTATTGTCAATAATAACAGGAATTATCATTATTTTACATGATTTATTGCCATTTTGTAAATGATAATTGAATAATATTGGAGTTAAAATTGAAATTATGTTATTATCAAAAATTACATGATAATCCGTTATTTAAATTTCCCTTCTAATTCATGCTGAAGTTTGTTTTAATTTGTGCTGGTGCAGATGCTGAAATAAACATTCGGTATATTTTTAAAAAGATTTAGAAATCCTAAAACAAGATTATTATTCTTATAATACGATGAACCCCCTATATCCTCACGAAAACCCCGAAAACGCACCTTATTATATTATGAATATCCAAAAAAACAAATAACTGGTGTATAAGAGAACAGTCAAAGTATCAAAAACAAAGTCTTTATTTTATCCGAAAAATTCTCTATTACCAATAACAAAAAAAAATCTGCTTATTAATTGTAGACACAGTTGTATCAACGAGATAATATTCTCCTATTCAAATAATACTCCCCCAAAAATTTAAAAAGAGAACTTAACATCGCTAGTACTCATCCCAACCAAAAAGAAGGAAAGCAAATTTAAACACAGTTGTACCAACCTGATAATATTCTCCCGATAAATAATACTTACCCAAAAATTTAAAAAAAGAACTCAACATCGCTGGTATTTATCACAACCAAGAAGTAGAAACAAAACAATCAACCACAATTGTACCAACCTGATAATATTTCCCTAATCAAATAATTTAAAAAAAGAAGTCAATATCCCTGGTATTTACTACAAACAAGAAGAAGAAACAAAATAATAGCAGTTGTACCAACCTGATAATATTACCCTACTCAAATAATTAAAAAAAAAGAACTCAACATCGCTGGTATTTATCACAACTAAGAAGAAGCAACAAAATAATAGCAGTTGTACCAACCTGATAATATTACCCTACTCAAATAATAAAAAAAAAAGAACTTAACATCGCTGGTATTTATCACAAACAAAACAATAGCAGCTGTACCAACCTGATAATATTCTCGTACTCCTTATCCTTGCCCTTGGACTCGCGCCAGCGGCGGTACATGACGCTGGCGTCCACGTTCGCCGGGCTGAAGGTGTTCGGCTCGTTCAATAACGAGATCACGGACAACAGCACCGTGCGGACAGACTGGGTCGGGTTCCAACGCTCACAGGGAAGCTCGCCAGACTGTGGGTCGTCCACGGGAGGATGGAGAATTGATATGCAGAGATCGCCGTTCTGTGAATAGAAAACGATCTCTTTATAGACACTGAAGAACAGTCTTTGTTTTAGTATTATGATTTATATAGCTTATAGACTAATGGTCCTTACTATATAGAGATATGGGATGTATATGAGTAGTGGGATGAAAATCAATATAATGAGATGAATTTTTGACTATAAACTACATATATTTATAGTCAAAAATAAACAAAATCGCGTAGTAAATCCGAAAATATTAATTTCATTTAAAAGAAAATCAATATATCTTATAAAAAAATCAATTAGCAGACAACGATGACTCGATGTTTTTTGTACTTTTATTCATATCAATCTATTTGGTTCTGAATTTTTTAGCAGCTGTTTTCGTTTTGCTAGATGCAGTTCCCGAAATTGAACTAGATTTTAGTGAAGAGAAATTCAGTATGATCGGTACTGTTTGTAAAGGGAAATATAAATCGGAAGGTACACTTTATGGCAGTTAAGATACAGTCAATATTATTGTTATATTTAGTATATTTATCAATAATTAATCACTGTCATATATAATACTAAAAATTCTACTTTCTCTATAAAAATGTAAATGCTATCCCACAAATTTTGGGCATACATTATCTTTGAAAACATAAACCTTAATCGATTTAGTAGTATCAAAAACAATATAATCAGAAAGGGCTCGGTGTTAGATGGGTTTTGGCTTTCATAGGTAACTAAAGATCGAACCAGAATTGAGGATAGTAAACTAGGTCATTTAATAGTCAATTAAGATCGGTTTTACTGCTTTGCACGGAGCTTCGGATCTCAGCGTTGTTAAATTGAGCTAGTAGTGCCGTATTCAGAAAGAATTTACCAAATTTATTCAAAATACCTCATTAATTGCCCGTTTATTATACTATTGATAGGTCATAAAAATATTAAGAATATTAATTTTATCTTTTTAAGTATTTTTCTTTTGCATATATTTGATAATTTATCAAATAACAGAGAACCAGTTTTTGGACTGAATAAAATAATGGACATTATCTATAACTCGACCAGTTTAATTCTGTTACAATTTATGTAGACTGACGAAAATAATTTGCAATAGGAAAGCTTAGAATTATTTCATTATTTATATGCAAAATTATTGACTTTCAAAAGGTTCAATACAAGTTGAATATTCCTCGTTAAAAAGAATCAACAAAGTTCAATGAATCCTTAATCTATATCAATTAGATAACAACAGGAATACAAAATACAAGGAAGTACATGTTGATTGTTTATTCATATTAATAAAACAGCTGTTATATTCAATGTAACAATTTATCGTTTCACGGTGTATCGATCTGGTTTCCGATGCAACTCGTAAGTGATTACATAAAATCCATTGTTTTCCAATCGATAGGATTGTTTGAAAATAAATCTTTCACATAATGAGAATGGTAACATAATGGAAATGTCCTATAATTTTGCGTAACTAAAGTTCAGATTTAAATAGACATACGTATAGTCTTTTATCCCAGTGATGTAATATAATTAAAATTATATGTAATTAAAATAATATGTAAATAATTCTGGTCTACTAATTATATGAATTAACACATACAAGGATTATAAGGACAAGTTAAAAAAAAGTATTAATCAAGGGCAACGTATCGAAGTCGAGGTAAGCAACTTGTAATGCCTTCCGATATATCCTTATGGGGGTTTAACGAAATAATATAAATCATTATCAGCTATAATATAATATCACATGTATTTTTTGTATAAAATAAAGTTTATTTAATTGGATATAAATAGTGTCTAATATATATATGGCGTAGCATCATTTGTTGTAAATACAAAAGGAAAAAGTAAAAATAAAGAATGATTAGACTCTATTTTTGTCATGTATGAATTTGTGACGAATCTGCTCACAAAATCCTCCGATCAATAGAATGGAAGAATTCTAATAGTTTTGATAACTAAATTAATTTCTCAATATACGTAAAAGTGACGTAATGACAATGTAAAAGCAGTTTTTTTTCACTTCCCATCGTAGTTTCCAGACCCATAGCAGGTAATTTCATGCTCATGAACATCTTATTTGTTTTAATAGAACAAAACCACAGATTACTGTATATAATAATGTTTCATAAAGGTATAGTTTTATAATAATTTGTCATCATTCAGTGAGATTTAGATTTAAGATGACAATCAAACCGTAAAATTTCTAACTAACTTGATTTATATGTTCCTAATACATAATTGTGATGCGTTTTTTAATGCTTATGCATATGTTGTTTATAAAATCGATGTGTTCATAAAAATGATGTAACTGTTTTGAAATAAACTCAAAACAATGGACATTTCCCATCAATATTGACGCTTTAGTATTGTTGGGAAAATTTTGGATTTCGGAATGCTATTTAATTTAGTTAGTGGTGGCCTAGTGGTTAAAGGGGCCGCCTCTCGTTACCGAGGGCGCGGATTCGGTCCTGACAATGTGATTTTTCATAGTCATATGTACTTTCTAAAAGTATTTAGACACCAGACAGACAGTGAAGGACAACATCGTGAGGAAACCTGGACTTATAATTTCAAAATTATAAGTTTGAAATCACCAACCCGTCTTGAGCAAGCGTGGTGATTAATGCAAACCTTCTCCATGAGAGAAAGAGGCTTTTGCCCAGCAGTGGGCTCTGATTGTCTAAAAAAAAAAATTTTTGTTTGTTTTATCTTATATGGCAATATCTTCTTTATGTTAGTATAAATGTTTAGTTTAGTTTTTGGTCCAGAAACTATGTATTTATCTAAAGACTTAGCTCGAACGGATAGTTAATTCACTTCTGGAAAATAATGATACTATTTCTGTCTAGCTTGCTCAAATATGGACTGGATTTTATAGCATGTAGCAAGGCACTTAGCTACTTTTATAAATACTACTATCGGATAAACTTATTTAAAGAAAATTATAAATCATTATTTATTTATTCAAAATTATTGACCAAAATACGTCATACAATAAAAAATGTAACTAAACATTGTTTAAAATTCTCTATATAATAAAAAAGCCAGAGAAGTAATAAACTTGATAGTTATATACAAAAAATTTAAACCGACTACCCGTTCCGATTATATACAATATTCTATTACTTAAATTAATTTACAAATGCTTTTTGTATGTTTCATTATTGTTGTTAATTTAGGGACGACAGGAATTAAAATAAAAAATCACTATCGTATTTATTGTGATCTCTAAATAACTTGTAAATTTAGATAACAAGAGGAATCCATTCATAACATTTGTTTAGAGATTAAGAAAAACAACTAGAAAACTTATACAGTCAAACCTTTTCAAAATCTATAATCAACTTTATTTATGCAAACGAAACCACGACTAAAATGTTGTCTAAAATTTTGATATTTATGAAAATCATATCAATCAAAGAAATACGTAATATCATAGTATAAGATATTAAAATGTATAAATAAATCATATTATATATAGAAATGTGGCTTCTCGCCACGTTCTATATCATTCTAATTTATATATAGCTAGAGTAATACTACATTGGATAAATCTTAATAAGCAAAGTCGAAATATACAAAAAATACAAGTAGCATTTCCACTTATCAAGCTTGTAGTTTTATCATGCGACACATTTACAAAGATACGGTATATTTCTAGCGAAACAAAGATACAGTGAAAGTAACCAAACGAGCTTACTAACGGTCCTTGTATATTATATACATACATATACATATATATGTTATGATAGACATTTGAAAACGTTATATTATAAAAATCCTTTATAGATTGCAAATTAAATTTTATATTTACATACTAAGAGCAAAAAGTCTTGGTATATCTTCATTTAATATAAGGTTGTTTAAGAAAAAGTAATTTTATAAGCACTACGTGTTCAGACGTGTGAGTTTTCTATAATGAAAACTTTGTTCAAATCAAACAAAGCGAACAAAGTCGCGGTTATGAGTTAGTCATAATAATAATATATTGAGAAAATATTTTTATTAAAAAAATCATATCCAAATAGTGAGTATAAAAGTAAGTCTACAAAAGTACTCGTGTATACGTATTTGAAGTTACTTAAAAATACACGTAATTAAAAATTAAAATGATTATTTTATGTATATTTCAAAGCCGATACGTTTAACGTTCTATTCTTTCATTGTTTGATACAGTAACTAGTTTAATAGGTCACTTAATTATATATATAATTAACATATTACGAAAGATATTCAACTGGATTGGTTATATACATATATGTCACATATAAATGATTACACATTATAATATGTTTATTATCTAGTGACTGACCTAAAAGGAATATTTTATTTTTAATCTGCTATTAAATCTGTACAATAACTTTAGTACACAAGTCTATTTACACCGAAAATTTAACAAGTAATTTTCAAAAAATGGAAGAAATTTATCTATTGACACACCTTGGATGTTAATTTTAAAAGAATTACTACTTGTCTTATAATTTAATTTCACAAAAATGTCTTCCGCCGTGACCATAAAGTAAATATGTACTTTAATGCATAAATTACTCTAATCTCTAAATCTAACTCTACTCTAAATCTAAATTAAAAATAAAATATAATTCGATATGTAACAATAAATAGAAATACCACCAGATCATGAATTAATATTATCTTTACAATAATACAATTTACAGTTTTAATATTAAATTATTTATAACAGAGTTTTATATATTATATCAATATTTTTTTAAATTATAATCCCCTTAATTTATTTGACTTCGTAATCAATTATACTCTAATGTTAAATTATAATGTCTGCGAATTCAATTCTACTCAATCATAAATGTACATATATGTTTAAATTATGTCTGTCCTATTTATAAATCGTACTGTGAAACAAAAATTTTACCTCCTTTCAATATATGAACATCTCGTAACAAACGGGTTGAGTGAATTTCAAAATACAAACATAATACGTACTTCTAAATATAAAACGCTCACAATGAAAACAGACGTCGTTAAAAGTTCTAACCATAAACAAATATTATGAAGAAGTTTCTAGATATTCTTTACTAATATACTACCTGTAAAATATGTGTATTGAAACGCAAAAAAATTTCATATTTTCAAGTCGGCCAGTGCGACGCCCTGAGCTAAAAATAAACAATCGAATCAACGCACCTTCACAAAGAAAGATTCACTCGCGTATACCACACAGTACACTGGACATTCGGAGGACAAGGTCGGACATATTAAAAATAAATAAACAAAAAACACAATCGTTTGATATTTTCAATATAATCTTTGCTGAATTCAGGACGAGGAAGTTCTAAACGCTTCTTATTGCGGAAAACGCAATGCTATAGAATATTTCGAGAGGTATTAAGCCTTGGAGACCGCCACGGGCGGGTTGAAGGTCCGCTGACGTGCGGAAGACACAGCAAAATGTTTTATAACACCCGTCGTATTTGTATTTTTCATATGCAACAAATTGAACACTGAATTTAGAGATGTAGCTATTAAAAATTCATAACCACGTGGTGTTTATAGAAAGTGTATGTTCTTAATCTTGGCACGATCCGCGATGTTAAAACGAAATCTTTCTTGGGCTGTTTTTTTAGTGGCGTGAATGTAGCACGAGTTATTGAGACCATCGCAATGTTCGTCAGGGACAGAGTGAATAACGCCCAAGGTCGTCGCTGATTTGATATATTTACATCGAATACAAATTTCTTTGATTTTATCTTAACGAAAATTGTATGAATAATAGCTGTTATGTTCTACATATTTCAATTTTAGTTCCTACATAGTCATGGTACAGAAACCTACTACGACAATGCTAAAGATAATTTAATACTAAAACAAGGTTTGTGCAAACCATTAACAAATTCATCAGTTTAGTTTCATTGAGGTCGCAAACACATACACACACACTCACACATAAATATAAATCTTCTCATATTGTTATTGTTAACAACTGTTGTTGAAATTAAACATACAGATTACAAACTTCAATGGAGAGGAGGTCAAACGTCAAAAAAAATCATTTTCTAGATATTTCAAAGAACGAACAATTAGCGAATAATTTAAACGTTGTTATTTATCTTTATTTTGGGTGTTACTATGATAAGTTCGTTGACTTAAATGTGATTCACATACTTAAATTTAAGCATGTATGTTGGTTAGTAATGATCGCGGTTGCCACAAGCTAAGGTCGTTCAACTATAGTATCCTGTTGTACGAGCATATTTTTTTATTTCAATACATCAATCCGTATTCCTAAACTTTATCATCATAGCCAAGTCGCAGTTACAAATAACGCATTAAAATCGTGTTTACTTGAAGCATTACGTTCAATTTGAAAACGATAAAACTGAACGTATTTATATAACTCTGATATAGAAGAGCTTAAAATTATTATAATTTTTTCATATATTTATATAACATATCAAGGTCGACCGTGAAAGCCAAGTATAGCCAAGTTTTATATAATCTTTGGAGTCTGAACTAATCAATACTTCAGTAGATAGGTACACAGATTCGTTGAGTATAAAGTTTATTTCGCATTGCAAGTTGTATATTTACCTAGAGACGTTCAAATGATACCAAGTGATTCATACTTAGTTTGATGACCTGTCTCACATTGTACTACATAAAAAACTAACGGTACTATAGCTCAGACACGGTCTTCGGTTTTAAACATCAGTTTCGGATATTATGAAGAATCGAAAAATATATATAATATAGACTTAATATTTATTACTGCTGACGTCACATGACTGTGACATTCATAATTGGAATCATCATATAAATAAAATAATATATAATTATTATGAATCAAACCGTTATAATAGTTACAGAATTTATTCGGTAGACCAAGCTATCTAGGACGATAGTTTCAGGTCAAATACTCTATGACAGTGTCGCAATTCTCAATGTGGCCACCGAAAAACAATATGGCTACTGCGTATTTACTTTGTCTATGAAGATTGAGTGTGAACTATATATATTCTATAATGCGACGTTTGTTTGTAACTCCTTTAAGATTTAACTACGCAGCAAATAATCCTCAAATATTGCATAAACTTAGGGTCTCGACTATTTTCCATGTAGTCTCGGGAAATAAATCCAATATGTTATGCAATTAGCATTATTTGGCTTATTAACTTATTAAATTTAAACAAACAAAGTGATGTTCTAATTAATTTAAATTTACATAAATCGTTTTCGGGACCGCAAGCTATGAATCAGATTTGTGGTGAGCATTTCAATGTCAGTGCAAGATTCTGGGAGGTACAAAGATACATATTAGTAATCACTTCGCGGATTTGTTAAGCGATATATTTATTTTATTAGGTTATGGCTTTTGTTATACGTGTGCGTCTTTATACCTAATAACTTATTTACTGATATAATGAATTATTACTCCAAAATAAACCAAAAATATTGACTTTTGTAGTAGTTTATAATATAAAATTATTTCAACAATAAAAAAGTATTGAACCGTTATGTTGCAGACGTGGGAATTAAAGGCAAGACTTTATAGAAAAAAATTGAATTTCATCCTACTTTATGGACAGTTCATTAAATTATTTAATGTTTTTTTAATAAAGGATTATCTTAAAAGGAAACTAGTTCGTAAATTACTAGTATACAAATTTTTGAGACATGTATTTTCCTGATATATTAATATTATACGTTTTTCCCTTAGTATTTTCATATTAAATATTAAACAAAATAATAAAATAAATAAATCCTAATTTCTAGTTTGTTCTGGAACAAAGTAAATGGAGTTATATAGGAACAGAGATTAAATCGGATTTAGTTCTAAGAAATATCTGTATTAAGTTTTGTATGAAGTAAATATTGTGTGAAGTTTAGTATATATGTCATTGTGAAGTACGTTATATGGCTTTACTCAGTCAATTTTATAGTATACATACATAAACACGTGGTGGATCGATATCCTCTTTTCTTGAAGTCGGATAAAAGGCTTAAAAACGGGACACAATACCATACAGCTTAAAACTATGTAAATTTTATAAGAAATTATACTGTACATTTATGTTTTCGTCATATGAATCCGTATTTCTAAAATAACAGAGAAACAAAATCCTTGAAGAAAAAAACTCACATATTGTTCATGACATTGACATTCTTTGTTTTTTTATTGACCTTATTTGGTCATAGAAAATGCCATATTGGAAACATAGCACAGATTAAAACATAGACTATATTAGAATCATACAACATAGTATCAAAACACAAAAAAGGTTCTTTTAATTTCTATTTTGTATAAAAATACTTAATATTCTCACATTTTAATGATTAAATTCTATTACAAGAGGGTTTATATTCTGGATGTTTCATGGACATTACGCAGATGAATTGCATTTATATTTTTTTGTAAGTACTTATAACAAAAAGCATTATGTAACAATGAGAAAGCAATAAAATCAAATTAAATTTGAAGAAATATTATGCAATATAAATTTGAATAGTTGTACTAATGATTGACATAAATATTCAAACTGTTACAATTATAGTTATATATAAGAATATTAATTCAAAAATAAAGCAAATAATAATATCAAGAAAAAAAAACCAATCATTTCAAAGAAAATATTCATATAAATGTAATTAATATCAAAAATCACTGAAACTCACCTCATAAACATTCGGATGCCACACTTTAGTCAGGAACTTTATAGATGGCGGAGAATATGGATAGTCCGGTGGAAACTTCATATGAGCCTGAAACAACATAAAATGTATTACTTTTAAATAAAAAATGTCATTATGTTCTTTTGATTTAAATTTTTGGAAATTTATAGCTGGATGCATAACTAAAATCACATTTCTATTACAAATGCAATGTATAACAAAATATGTTTTATTTTAATATCATCACCATACATTTGTCTAATTTTTATTAATTATAACATCATGTGTCCAGTTTCAGTTAATTCAGTTTTATTTTTGAATATCTAAATGTTACCACAATCTTGTTCCATGGTCTCATTAAGGCAGATAAAGCTTTTTTATCTTATTATCTGCCTATTTTAGTAAATAGACAATAATTGCATGAAAAATACAAATAAATAATTAAGAATATCTGAGTTAAAAACAAATTTTCTTACATTTCCAGCAAATTATGTTTGAAGATTGCAAAAAGGTTAAACAATATAAGAAACTTGGAAAATACAATTAAAATAAATAAAGACAAATGTTTACAGAAAGTACATTAAAAACCAGATTAATTCATATAAATGCAAAACATGTTCATATTTGCTACTTAAAATGTAATTTTGAATGAAATTGATGTTATTATTCATGATCCATCCCCAGCATTGCTATTTTTAAGTAAGGTTTATTTTGTAGTTCAAATATAAAGTAATTATTATTACAATATGTAAGTAACAAGTGATTTTCTATATATGCTATCGTTCCTAATGATATTGTATATAAATCATCAGTAACACAGCAAAACTGATTCAACAACATTTAAAGTAATGTCAAATATTAGTGATATTTAATACCCATTGCAATCTATTGTACACAACAAGCTTTTAGTAAAAAATCAATGAATAAAACTCAAAATATGTGAAGAATATTATATACAAAGTAATAGAGCTTTTGAATACATGAGCTGTTTGGCACATAAAGAATTACTGGGTTGTTTGCATCAAGATTAATGATAATATATTTATTCATCAACATGGAATTTGTTAAAGTGTTCAAATCCTTATTTGAAAATAGCCCTTAATGAACAATTATTCTCTCTACTGTTTTGATAAACAATAATTATGCAAATCATATAAAATAAGATATAAAACTATAAAGTGATATATGAAGAACAAACAGGTAATCTTTAATAAAATTGTCATGAATTTGATTCTATTGTTTAAGTGGAATGGAATTTAATTATAATATTTTAAATAATATTTAGTAGATCAGTAAAATTTACAAGTTTAAGAAATAATTAACAATTATGTTATCTAAATCATAGGAATCATGAGTCACAATCATATTGCAAAATTTCGAAGCTTTAAAAGGAAAAAGTGGCAATTAAATATTTGTTTTTGTTCTTTACAAAATTTTTAGGAAAATCAATCTCACCTTGAAATATCCTCCTTGGTATAGCGTGTCTGGTGGCCCGAAAATTGCAACCTCCCATTCAAATAAATTGTCCTCACCCAATAATTTCACTCTGAACCCTTCCACGGGTTCTTCTTGTAGGCTCTTGTATTCTAAGGCCAAAGCCCTCAATGCAGAACTCGTCGGTACCGTACTAGACATAATTATTTAGTATTAATCTAACAACACTGAGATAATTAAAACTGCTATCTACACGTAGATATTCTATTGACATAACACTGTGGAACTCTCCTCGCGATCCACGTATTCACGAGGCATTTCAAATAGTCTCGAATCACAATAACAACGAATTAATTTTGGTAAACATAATATCTCCTGATCATGGATGAAACGTAACGCGTCTGCCTAACGCCAGCACTAACAGGAGATGTTTGATTCGTTGAAATCGAAATTCCGGATTTGTTGATTAACACAAAGGAGATAAAACAATGAGAAAGCCACTATTCAATGTCCAAACAATCGCAGTTCCAAGGAAAACGGCTGCGTGTTCATTCGTACACAGCTGCTACCTGAGTTGCCCGACGGAATATTGTAGAACAGCTGTTAGTTATTTCCGTGCTTGATTGCGCAGTGATGTGACGCACACAGCCATTTATCGACTAGTGGTTTATAACGCCATCTATTGGACTATTAATAACTACGACCTACTCGACCATTGTACTAGTCTTTATAGATTTCTTGTTTTACAATAAAGTAATAGATGGCGTTTATGCCAAAAAGTCTTTTTCAAGTAAAGGGGGCGTTAAAAACTTAATCTATTTTAAAAACAATTGTCTAGAGGGCGTTAAACCAATCAACAATGTTTGTGTAAAAGGTAGATGTGTGAAATATTCGAATACATTAAAATAAAATATATGAGATTTAAATAGAAATTATTACTATGTTAACAAATGTATATCACAATAATACTTTCTAATTGTCATTCAAAATAAATGTTAAAGTAATATTTAATAGCATCGTAAAGTAATCACGGTAGAGACTTTCTACACATGCTAGCTTAATGAATCGCTTTCATGGACTTTTATTTACAAATCGATGTTTCATTCATTGGTTTTCAGCCTTAAGCCGTCTGTCGGGCTTAAGCTTGTCAGAGAAAACATAAAATCGTCGTTTGTGTAGTTCTATGTATTGATTGATGAGAAAATGTATTAAAAGACACACCATATGCTGCTCAATATAATCCTGGTGACGTAATTAGTCAATAACTCTTGATGGTCATTGTATAAACACTTGCATTGTGTCATCTTATATTGAATCTGTCCTATGACATGTAAGTATCTCCTTTTGTATGTCTACTTTTACTGTGATTTGATTATTAAAAGTAGTAGTGCTATTAAAATATATTATATTCAATTAATTTTCAAAATTAGTTTTGAATATCTTTGACACTTAAATATTGGAGTATGTTTGTAGTGAGATAGTCTACTTAATCAATATTACTGTATAAAGATTCAATAATTTGTCTGTGTATGCAATCAGTCTGTGGGCGAGTGATTCAAAAGCAGGTCGCCCACCATTGCCATGTTAAGGCAACGAAAACCGGGCCTTGTGCAACCTACGATTTTACTGTATCTTAACTTTAGTTCCGATAATTGAATATTGTTCATTCGTATTAACAGTTTTTTTTATTTCGAGATTAATTTAATGCTTTATATAATTGACTTTTTTGGCGTACAAAGCCAAAACACCCACGCTAGTCATTGATAATAATTGGAATTGCAATGTAATAAGAAATATCAGAATAATCTTTTCTGTCCTCGCCTTTTACTTTTGTTTTTAAATTATTATTTTTTCGGAAATGTATGTCATATCCCAGAGGATTTGAGATTTATATCTGTTTCTTTACCTTTCTTACGAAACACGGTTATAAATGAGGAACCTTAATTGATTTAAAATATATTAATATTATAACTTAAAAGATAAATGTTACCTAATTTAATAATAATTTTGTTTAATTAACATTAATAGGACAAAAAAAGTCAAAGTAATGCTACTTTGTTCGTGTATTTTCCTTTTGCAATCATTAGAAAAGTTCCTGTATAATAATTAAAAATAAAATCTCAAAAATTATACGCAAGTAGGTGAATTTATGTTAGTTTTGACCAAACATTATATTTTTCATTTAAATATGAATTTATTGTTGTTTATGTTTTTTTCTTATACAAGAGGGTTTGTTTCAATTACTTAGTAAATAATCCAGTGTAAACAGCTGAGAAATATGGTTTAAATTGCTCATATATATTTTTAAACATTGAGTAATAAAATTAGTGTTTCGTGATTCAAAACGAAAAATGAAGACTCATGGCAACTTTACAGTGTTTGTCACAAACACAGATGTATTCTTAATTTACATTTGGATTGTTTAATTTAACAGACTATTTAACACATTGCAATAATAAATATTTATTAATACGATTGTAAAATTAAGTTCATTTATTTAGTAAAATTCGGTTTATATTTTGGGGTTGACAAATTGAATTGAATATCAATGGAATTTGAAAGAAACGTATTCATTTTCTTAAAGAATATTCTAAATATTAGAAACTTTTAATTTTCATATTCATGCGTATTTCCTCTTTACTGTCTACTCATGGTGTTTATATTTTTTATCCTACAAGGAATTAGCTTCTTAAAATTAAGTTTGGAATAGACGTTGTAAGATGTGTATCTTTTAGACTTTGTATGATTCCAAATTTATCTACTATCTTGAATTCACTAACGAAAGTTCCTTGTGCGAAATAGAAGAATGTGTCTTCGTCACAGGGTTATTTTTAAAAATTTTAGTTTTATTGTTTACTCAATATTTTCCATAGAAACTGTAGGTGTAGTTTATTCATATGTAAAATTGTAGTTGAATATTATTTTAATTCGTAATAATGTATTTATAAGTTGTTTATGAAAGTCACTCGGGATGTTACCCATTACTTTCAATATGTGTACAATGTTTATGAAATTTTGTATACTCAGGCAAATAACTTATGAGAAAATGAAGAATGATGAATGCAATACTTCGAAAAAGCCGATACATACATAGCAACTACATATTTTAAAATTATTCTAGAGAGTTCTATGTAGCACATATTGATCAAGTTTCTTTAATCGGACAACTGGTAAACAAGGATTAGTTTTTGTTAGGGAAAATCATACTAATCCACTTATGTGAGTCATTTATATGGTCTTTCATTCATAAATCGCCAGCGATACTTATCTATCTGACGAAGGTTATGTGGCCTAATTGTAGGCAGTGATTTAAAGTTTGTATCAAAATAAAACCAACAAAAATTTAGTGCTAGTAGTATTATTGTTTACTTATAGTGTGCATCTGGCATTATGTTAGATAAAAAAGAGATTCTGTAATGTATTATCCTGTCACATTGTTTAAATTCGATTCCATTATTATCATTAAACAAAAAATATTTTTGATGTAAATCGTTTATATAAATATTAGTTTATATTATCGCCTACTTTTTTCGACCATCTTTTGCATGTCTTATTACAGACAAGCTTGAAGAAGTATAAAGACACAATACTTTTGCTTACTTTTATATAGCTTTCTTACAACAGAGATCACTCAAATAAATAAATATTTTGTCCGAGACATTTAGTAGTTAAGCGATATTATAATTTTATTATTTTCTTCTGCATATTACCTACATTGTACGATTCCTGTGTCCCTGTTATAACTTCTTCTTGCGTCAATAGATGGCGTTAGAAAGGTAACACTTGAATAATAATCTGTCAATTTGACGTTCTTAAATTAAGACAAAAATAAGAACTTTAACTAGTAGGTGTAAAATATAAATCTTAAAGTAACATAAATATTAATCGAACATGCATATTAACATTTGCCAACAATAAATAAGAAGCTTATAAAACTGGGTCGTCTGCATCGTCTCGTAGATATCTTGTACGGTGAGACCGGATTTAATTGAACATTACCAAAGACTTATGTAAATGCACCTCACACGTACTAGTTTCTAAAAGGATAATGTCCCTGTCATAAATATTTAATTTAAGGCCTTTTTTAAAATGCCGGGACTTTAAGTTAGCTTATTTTTATCGGTTTAAAAGATTTAAATGAAATAAGAGATTAGAAAAATATATATTTATTGCTAGATTAATTTGAAGTCTTCAAATTTCTGTAAGACTTTGTATGTATTTTTAGTTTGTAACTATTTTCCTATTCTTCTAATGTTAAAATTAATTATAATTAAAACGTATATATATTTAATATAATGTCTTTTCCTTTTAGCTTAACCGCGACTGAGTTCTCGCGATCCAATGTATGTCAAGGTAAGTTAAACTGAAAAATAAAACCCTGTATGAATCGGTTTATATGTATATAATGAACCATGAATGTAATATTTCTATAGATTATTATGATTGTTATTATATATTTTGTACCGTTTCCAATGCTAAAAGTCTCGATTTTCTACTGCTTATCTATCAGTAAAAGTTTACTACTTTTTTAATCTACTTAGTCGATATACGTACTTTAAATATTCATATTTCATACGACGATGAAATTAATCTAATTCATTTAAAATAGTCGTATTTTGTTCCAATTAATTGCTAGAACATTTAAGTAATTTTAACTACTTTTCTTTCAAAATATTTACGCAATAATTACTATTAGACTCTAATTAAAATCCATTTTCTTAATTAATACTTAGATAATTAACAATTATTGTTTTTCACTAATGATTTAAACAAATTTAAGATTTAAACAAATTTAAGATTTGGTTTATTAAATTAAATACTTACTCTCTGATGTATAATATCCTTATACATATGTATATTTATAAATGATTTAACTTTATATTCACATTGATGTATTTCGACGAAACCAAAGAATTTATCAATAATATTAAAATACGTTTTTTTTTTCATTCAGGTATTCAGCAAAATGTTTAATGGAAGTCGATGGCAATTAGCTAACAAATAGCTGGAAATGTCTTTTGTTGTTCGTGTTCATTAAATAACATACAGTATTCCTATTTTGGTATGAGTCCAACAGCGAGATGTAAGCGCTTACGTGTCGCGAAGGTCTGGTGGGCGACAGTAGACGGCTCCAGGGCGAGGGCGGTGTGGGGGGAGGAGTGCCGGCACGAACAGAGGTGCGCACGCGCAGACTCCGCAAGACAGTCCGCCAGTGGCAAGCTGCGCGCACGACACGAACGACTCTCGCGAATTGTTTATCACTATTTTTATTTACGTTACATGGCAATCGTTTGACTTTAGTGTTTTAGTATAGGACTCGTGTTTAAGAATATTTAATCGTTTTTTTTATTTTAATATTTATTCAGATTATATCGTATAAAAAAATTAAAATAAAGTGACAAAATGACTATAAAAAATAAAAAGACTAAGCAATCAAATGCTACGGAAGTGTCAACATCTAAAAGTGCGTCGAGTAGTGTTCAGAAATCAAGCACGTCGACGTCTGTGCAGAAATCAAGCAATACCTTACAGAAGGTCAGCTCGGGTAAGAAGGTCCGCTATATTGACGTTAAGGTCGAAGAGGACGACCCTCTTATGATTACTGATATCACCGATCATGCATCTACCAGCGGTTCCATTATATCAGAACACTACAACAGCCACCCGCACTACATAATAACGGAGGCACCATCGATTTCCGACTTATCACAAGTAAGATCTCATGAACATAACGTAAGCGTAAGCGACATGGCGCAAGTACACACAGGTGAGTTTGTTTCGACTTCTGAGTTACAAGAGTCTTCTTCATCTCACCAACAAAGCTCTAGAAGTGAAACTCATCAAACTTCATCAACATCTGTGCAACGCTCTGCTTCTAGCCACAGCCAGACATTTGATTCTACTGTTGACAACCAAACGCTTAATACCGCATTTATAGACAGCTCCTCACAAAATGTAACGAGATCTAGTAACATCAGTAACAACAGTTTCTTGTCTAAATCCCAAGGAGCAAGTGCTACAGAATCTTTTATTGAATCGGAAAAAATGAATCTGATGAACACTCATCAAGGAAGAAGACAATTTCATTCCAATCGTGACAATGTTGCAAATAAAATTACTTCGTCCTCATTTGATTCAAAAAATATGAATATTCGCGAGAATGAACGTTATAATTCGCCTGACTCTCGAAGGGCACAGACTGTTAAGTCTAACAGTTCAAATTTTTATGAAGGTCAAGGTACACTTGATAACAATGTTAAGTCGACAGAGTTTAGTACGACGTCTCATTCCAGTGAGACTAAAAGTAGTAACGTGACAAAGTCCTCATCGTCATCCTATGTTGTTGAAATTGTTGATGGAAAAGAAAGGATAATTGACAGTTCTAAAAGAGAGTGGGGTGATGCCCAAGAACACGCGTCGAAAGAGGATTATGCTAGTATAAGCGGTACTAATATCAAGCCGGAGAGTGCATATAGTGTTCAAAATTATGATATGAAATCAAAATACGATACTGGAAAACCTGGAGCAAAACCTACGAGTGAAAAGACCGTTAAAGAAAACTCTAAATTTGTTAAGGATGGAACTCAGATCACGAGTCATGAAAGCCTTATTTCTCACAAAGATAATGCAATACAACAGCAGCATAGCTCAACTACTCACGAGCAATTAACTGCTAGAGATAATATTCAGTCAGATAGCGTGGATAGGAGACACATTTCTTTCCGTGACAACTCTCATTCCGATATATCCAACCAGCATCAACAAATTATTTCAAATGAAAATCAACAGACTGACACTATTGACAGGAGTCAGACAGTTTCAGAGAGTCGAGAAATTAACACTCAGTCTATGGAAAGTCAGATAAATATAAGCAGCAAAGTAACAAGTGAAAATACTGTAAACACTAGACGTGATATGAATAAGACGGATTCCTCAAATTTCTATGGATATGACTCAACAATACAAAATCAATTGAAAAAAGTAGGAGATATTTTACAAATCAGGGACACGGAAAACCTCAACTATTCCACTAAAATATTAAAAAGTAATACGAGCAGTGCACACCAAGAATCTACATCGTCCTATGTCTTCGAGGTTGTGGATGGGAAGCAAAGAATTGTTGATAGCTCTCACAGAGAATGGGGTGATAGTAAAGATCATTCAACACATGAAAAAAGCCACTACATAAGTGGAACAAACATTGAACCACAGCATGAATACACCCGACATGTTCTTGACAAAGAAGCATTTTATGACACTGGAAAGGATGGAGTTCCTAAAAGTGGTTCATACGTAACAGAAGAATCTGCTTTATATAAGAATGGAAAAGAGATAGCATCAACTAGCAACACATACGGTGGTGATTTTACAAGAAAACCTGCTATAACCGAGCATCCTACCGACGGGACTGATGTCTATGATCAACAAATACAACAACAACAAAAGACAACAACAACACAAGAACAAAATCTCCAGTCTAGTACAAATATAACTAAATCAACAGATTCTCAAACACATATTAAGGATTCAGAGACCGTAAAACAAAGCACCGATTTTATAACGAAAGAAAAACAAAATCTTACAAAAGAAACAACATCGTCCACTTCTCAATCCAAGGACACTCTGACAACGTATGAAAGGAGCACCGGTACTTGGAATGGTAAATTTATTTATGAAAATGAAGACGACAGACCGAAGCGCCCCAAACAAATGTCGCCTTTCGGGAAACCCGAGCAACCAAGACATCACTTAAAGAGGCAAGATACTGAAGAAAATATCATTTTATCATCACGAGACATTAAAGATTTCACTTCCATAAGTGACCTCAGAAAAATAATTGAAACTTCACAGTCGAATAAAGACGTCAAAGTAAGCAATAAGAATATTGTTATCAGAAGAAATATTGATGACAAAGTTTTAAAAGAAATTATTGAAACTGTTAAGAAATATCCCTTCAAACGGATAGATAAAGTTACTTTCGGTACTAAAATTAATGAGGACGTCAAAGATTTATACGAAGGCATCGACACGGAAGAAACAACTGTTATGCACACCACAACAGACGGTGCATTAAAGAAGTCATTCGACATTGAGAAGACCAGGAGTCAAATTGAAGTGACGCGATACATAACTGAAAATGGTGTAACCAGAAAAGAAACAACTTATGAAGATGCAAAAGAAGACGAGAAGATTAAGACAGACGTTTTTGTTGACAACAGCGCGTTAGACATCAGAAACTTGGTAAGTGAACTGAACATAACAGTCATATTAGATGAAAACTATATCCTATAGCTTTAATAATTAAATTTCTAGAAGGATGTCCGCACTACGAAAGATATACGCGAATACGACGTGGTTGACCGAGCTATAACGGACACTACGAGAGAGGATACTGTCATCAGCACCGTCTACGATGAACATATCATAGATGACAGAAAAACAGTGCGAGATGACAGGACCACCATCGAAGAAACTGTTCGTCGGGATGAGACCAGGCCAAAACACGGTGGCCCCAAAAAACCTGAGAAAATCATAGAAAAGGAACAGTGCATCTGTGAAATCTGCACTTGTGGGTGAGTAAATATTTTTTATGACTTCATTTCGATGACTTCACCGTTTGCTCAAGGTTGAATTACCATTTAGGTTTTTATTTATAAGCATCATACGTATAACTTGTATTGACTTAAGTTATTAGAACATATGTTATTGGAATGGCGCTTAAATCATTACATTTAATAATCATAAATTCTGTTTCGAGAAATATTAAGATCAGTAGTATTTATTTGTTTATTAAAAAAATTAAATACTCATTTTTCTAAATGGGTGAGGAATTAAATATTTGAAGTGACGTAATAATACATCCGTAACTACTCAATGTTTTGAATGCATTTGAAAGTTAAAATAAAATAGGATATCGTATTAATCACTTATATTTTTCGTATTTTTTTTCATCACGTGTAAGTCGTTAATCTTACCCAGAGCTCAGAACTGAACGTCTCTATAACAAATAACGTAAATTGCGAATTTTATTTGTCATTTTTACACAAGTTAAGTTTGTATTGGAGTTATTTTATAAAATAACTAGCTTTCCGCCCGCAGCTTCGCCGCGTGGAGTTCGGTTATATCGCGTTTCCAAGAGAACCTTTCAAAAGTCTGGGATAAAAACTATCCTATGTTCTTTCTCAAGGTCAACTCTATCTCTGTACCGAATTTCATTAAAATCAGTTCAGTGGTTTAGGCGTGAAAGCGTAGCAGACAGACAGACAGACAGACAGACAGACAGACAGACAGAGTTACTTTCGCATTTATAATATTAGTAGGGATTATAAAATAAATTGAACGAACTACTTTTTATGATGTTACCATTCCTCAACTTATAAATTAGCATTTACGTAACTCTACATTTGACATTTCAAATGATAATAGCTTACAACGAGGTAGCAAAGGTCATTAACCTATCGTTTGTCTGTAGACTCAATACGATTTTGGGAATCGCGTAGTGATATGACAATAATTTAATACAGACCAATTACGATTTCGCACTTAAAATTAATGAAAGTAACTTCTATGAAACAGGAACACAACTTAAATTTTAAATACGACCTTCTTTTAGTAATGACAAAATGAGTCAAGTCTTACATAATGTACACGTAGGATGCTTTCAACAAAAAGTCATTTATCTTCAATTCAGAACTCGTTTAGATAGAAGACAGTTTAAATGAATACTGGAACGCTTAAAAAACAGCTGATAAAATAAAACACACACGAAATATTTTCCCCATGCGTCATCAAAATACAGGAATTTTAATGTAACATGGTAAAGAAATTTTAAAATAAAGACGTTTGTCTTAAATCTTCATATAAAGTCTTGGTGATAGATATATTTATATTTATTTTGAGAGTATCTACATACTGATGTCTTGCAGGATATTGCTTATACATATGTAGCACATAATAATTTCTGCAATAACGATAGGAATCTAAAATTGTTACGTGTTGGAATGTTAGATTTAATTATTCACGGAAGATTTATTCGATTAATTATCTTCCTTTCATCTCGTCTACAGATTTCAATCATATTGGTTTTTGAAAAGTTTGACGTAAAAAAAAATCTTTAAAATAATTTTTCTTAATAGAGTGTGGACCGGGCGTTACAAATTTCTATATCTTTTACTGTTTCATGTTAATGTACTAGTTAATCATGTATTGGCGACAAAATGATTGATAAAATTACACACATAAAGAAAGTAGCCTTTTAATCGCTCTATATTTGCAATTAACACGTTATCAGTGTTCGAATTTTAAACATGGTTGTTTTAAATTACTTTATCGTATAATAGCTCCTTTGTTATGAATAATGTTTTTTTAAACATAATTTTCAGTACTGGCAATTAATGAAGCTATTTCTTAATATACCTAAATATAATACAATATTGAACTGTAACTTAAGATTTTATAATTTTTTTTACGTTCACGTTCATATTTAGGGGAGAAACTTACCTATTATTAAAAAACTTGCGGTAAGATTAAAACTTTAGTATTAACTAAGTTATTTTAGTAAGTTTATTAAATTTACCTACCGGCTACCAGTAATAAAATTGTTCTAACTGCTCTTCTGGCTATAGGAAAATATATAATTGTTGTCGTGTATATTATTTTTTCAGAATTGTATATTAATATCTGGAAAAACTGAATAACTATGCAAATAAATATATATTGCGTATAATATTACGTTTCCTTCTAAGGAACATGTTTATTATTAACATTTCCATAAAGATTATTCGTAAAAAGATACCTTCGCTTATATAATAAAGGGACAATTTTTGAAATTTTCTGTGACCATTTAAGTTAAAATTTTTCTAAACCAGGACGGTAACAATAAATTCTCGTTAGTTCTATTTAGATCGTTGACAACTTCTTAGTGGAATCGGAAGAAATCGCGAAACAAGTTTTTAAAACAAGTTAGCTTGAGAAAGTTGATATTTGCTATATATGTAATACATATATATAATAGAAAAAAAAACAGAAATGATTAATTAATTGGAAACATATTTTTTGATATTTTGACGAATATATATCTTTTTGTCTAATATATGTGTTATCACAGATAAAAATATATATTTATATCTTTCATTTCATATCTGTTATGTTAAAACAGTGTCATATTGTTCTCACATCTCGAATACATCACAACAATAAATTGTAACTTACTAAGCGATCATGTAATATTTGATGGCACTGATATAATTCCACAGAGAAATAAATTGATATAACACGAAATTAGGTGGAGAAGCTATTGTTATATAATTTATTTTTGAAAAATTAAGAATCAAAAAGAAAAGAGACTCGTTTTTACACAAGAACGTGTATAATTAACAGCTTTGTCATCGATGAAAAAAGTCTGTTTTGTTATTTATTCATCCAAATATATAAAGTTAAATGTAAATATGCACTATATTTTATTACACGATATCTAAAGTGAGTGTCTTCGAGATATCTCTGTCGCCATTTAATTAAGATGCACTCAAATGACCTGACTGTATTTAATTACTTCTGATGTATACGTCTCTTGATCTGTACATTGCTAACTGGCTATTTATAAACATGCTGTAATATATGACTAATTTAAACTTAAACATTCCCCCTCATTCAGATTGGCGTTTAATAGATGCAATGACGCAAAAAATTATGCTCTCATTGTTGTTTACACTTATTCTAGAACTAGCTTTCCGCTCCGGCTTCGCCTGCGTGGAGTTCGGTTATATCGCGTTTCCAAGAGAACCTTTCAAAAGTCTGGGATAAAAACTATCCTGTGTTCTTTCTCAAGGTCAACTCTATCTCTGTACTAAATTTCTTTAAAATCAGTTCAGTGGTTTAGGCGTGAAAGCGTAACAGACAGACAGACGGAGTTACTTTCGCATTTATAATATTAGTAGGGATTAGTAGGGATACATTTTGTTTCTCATTTCATAATTAATAGCGAGATATATCAAATCTTAACACGTAATATGATCTACATAGTAAGTATTCTATGTCTTGGTTATAAAATACTCAGGAAGTTAAATGTATCAGACTAAAACAAAACTATGATGCTATTACGAACACGTTGTAAGGATGATTGCCAAAGTTCTTTGAACTGATACCGAATACTTCAATAGCGAATGCAAATTATATTGCTATAATAATATAAGTATCTTCTCTTCAATGTTAAAGTGTGATTACTAAAGATATTTTTAAATTGGTATTATATATCATTCGATTAACAAATTATCATCCGATTATAGAATGAGATAAGTTTATAATATATTTTTACTAAAAATTAGTTTATATGGGAAAGTTAGTTTGAGTTAGTAGACTTCTGAAAGCAATTATTCGTGGGTCGACCCTTAATGCAATTATCGATCGTGTACATTGAAAACACAGGGAAAATTCTAGCCGTCTGATGTCTTGTAAGGTACACGATAATGATTTTCTTTACCCTAGTCAAGGTAGTTAGCATTTAAAAGGGTAATAGAAAAGCATAGTTTTATTTATTGGTAACTGATTTAAAAAAATGTGTAGATGTTGTTTCAAGGTTATTCGTTATTTAGAAATTCCCGTTTTATTATTCACTTTAATATATTCAAAGGGTTATGGAGATTTTTATCAGCCAGTGTGAATTTGAGAAAGTTAATACAAATTACCCCATCCTTTTTAATTTTATTCAATGCAAATTCTGTCGTAAAGGTATAAAAGTTAAGGCACAATTTTATTTGAAAGAACATCTTTTAACTTTAATTACATACATCATGATTATGTATATAATTAATAGTTAACAACGACAACAAGATGTACTCACACACATATAAATAAAATGAAAACTATTTCGTCATGAACTGAGATAAGTATGAACGATTGTCATTGATAGAATTATTACCAGATAAAAGATATGATGCTGTTTAAAATAGGCCATTTCTTATCCAAATATAACAAGGAAAGGAAAGGAAAAAAAACAGGTCATAAGTGTATGTATTGGTAAATCACACCCATTTTTGTATTTGACAAATATTAAAAGTATACAATAAGTTATCCGCTACTGCTTCTAATCACTGATAATAATTAATAAATCACTAGAATTCGTATCACTAATATTTATAGCAAACATTTCTATATATTTAGCAAAAATTTTTGGATGATATTTACTCTGAAGGTCACTGGGCTGTGACAAGACTTGTGTTGATGGGTGTGCACTCATCGTGACAGTGTTTCGCCATTTTATATAAAGGTCTTTGTACTTAGTATACAATTCCATGGGTATATTGAGCAATGTTATTTGGTTGCATAGAAAATGTCATTTAAATTACTGGCATATCTTTATTTATACTTCGTAGGTATTATAAGGTGGGTTCTAGACAACCTAAATCTTAGGTGTCTCTTGCGTGGGTATGTTTACGTCATTTCGGATAAAAGTAGGTGTAAGATATAGTCAGAAAGGATAGTCTGAGGTTCTATTTGAGTTTATGTTTGCAATTTATATAACAATAGTGTTATGACAATTTCTTAGTTTATGGAAAATTTAAATTTATTCCATATTTTAT